CGCGGGCCGAAAATTCACTGCTGATTACTACCGAATATCCGGAGCCCGAAAAATTGTATTCGGGCAGCCCTAGTTCCTTGTAAAGCGCAGTCTTCCCATTAGATCTGTAAATGTGCTTATTAAGGAATCATACTTCCAGTATTGCTCATTAAAGAAACATTGAAGAGGTTTTTCAGAAGGCATTGCCAGGAATTGCGTCACAAAATGGTTTATGGAAATGTATAGCTGCAGCCCACCCAAAGATCAGACTGTTTCGTTAATATTGCAGATTTCTTAAGATTCGGCAACCCTATCAGATTCTTTACCACGCCTATACCAGATTTTATATTAAAAATAAAATGACTATTAGTAATCTGATGAGCAGGGATTGTTGACATTGCTTGTCGTTATCGTGTGTTGCTTTGGTTTATGTAGTCTTAGATTTTATTTTTTTAAACCTCATCCTTTTGAGTAAGGTCTTCTTTTTGTTTCTATTTGGGTAGGATGGGGCCGGTACTCGTTAGGGCTGCTCGATTATGGCAAAAATCATAGTCTCGATTATTTGGGTCAATAATTGATATCACGATTATTAAAAACGATTATCCATTTACTTTGAAAACATCCATTGATTGATTTTTTTTTTTTTAAAGTATGTTTTTAACAGTTGATTACCCTGAACTTTAAGTATAATTCAACTGAAAACATAAAAAAAAAAAATTGCAAGCCAAAATCGTAATTGCGATTAAAATACGATTAATTGAGCAGCCCTACTCGTAGCCATGTTTGTGTTGGTTTCTGTATTTTTTGAACATCTTGTTAAATCTAAAAATGTTTGATAAAATATATATTTATGTACATTTAGAGAACAGATGTAAATGTGTACAATGAACGACAATGTATTCCTGTTAATCTAATCAACTAATTAGATAAATGCAGGAAATTAATTGATTTCTTTAACCAGAGTTTGGCAGTCGACTACAGCTTAATGTAACAATTAGTTAAATTGAAAGGATTCATCTGCAACTATTTTTATAATCTAATCATTCATTTAAAATAAATCTGTTTTTATTATATTGTTGTTGTTTTTTTTACTGTTATAAAAAATAAAAATAATTAAAAGGTGTCACGTTGGAATCTGGGAAATGATGGACGCTATTTCCCTTAAAACTTGTACAGACTGAAGAAATATTAATTGAAGAAATAATTCGCCAATGAACCAATATATAAGTATTGAACACTCAAATGTCTGCAGCGGTGTAACTTTAGATCAATGGGTTCTATAGCTGGATATTCTGTGCATTGGGTTATGAGGGTTAATAGACCTATACATAAACATAGTTCACATGCTTCACATCATGTGCTCTGTACATTAGACACACGGAACATATCCAACACATCTGAATGTCAGCCACCGCCTATAGGGACAGGACGGGGCAGTTCAAATGAGGACATCGCCGTACGCACGTCGGTCCTTGAAGACATTCACGGTGTCTCCATTATTTGAACAAACTTAAATGGATGAAAGCAGTTTTGTCTAGGCCTGTGGCGATAGCTAATTTTGTAGGAAAATGTATTGTCGCAAAATTAACTGTTATAAACAATATTATTGTCATTTTAAGTCTAAACACTAGTATAAATATTATAAAATAGCATAGAAATGCGAGAACACCCTTCCAAAGAATTAACATTTAAATCTTAAGACATTTCAGAAACAAATATTAAATGATGCTAAATAAATGATTGTAAATGGACTGTACTTATATATATATATTATTGTAAAATAACACCAAACAAAACAATAAATAACATGGGCTCTGTTAGTAATGTGAAATGTCTGAGCAAAGCGCTTGTCTTGTAGTTTTTGGGATAACACTATTCATGTTCATCCATCATTTAAAAAATGACATTCTTATGTAAATAAAATACGCATCTCAAGATAATGGGAAAAAATCGAGATCAGCAAAAATGATCAAGGTCATGTCCATATATATATATGTATTTATGTATGATAAGTTGGTTATATTTGAATTGTAGAGCTGATGCCTATATATCAGGCGTTGGGGCAGGTGTGTCAAAATTAAAATAATAGAGACCTCTTGTAGGGCTGCTCGATTATGGCAAAAATCATAATCTCGATTATTTGGGTCAATAATTGATATCACGATTATTAAAACGATTATCCATTTACTTTGAAAACATCCATTTATTAAAAAAAAAAAGTTTGAACAGTATGTTTTTAACAGTTGATTACCCTGAACTTTAAGTATAATTCAACTGAAAAAAAAATATTGTTTTATTTCGATTACGTTGCTTTCGTAATCGTTGCAAGCCAAAATCGTAATTGCGATTAAAATACAATTAAAGGTAAGTTTGAGAAACCGGCTCGAGATACACTTTTTGTTATATTCCATGGAATGCTCTTAACATCCCGATAGCAATGAATATCTTAAGTGCTTTGACAAAAAAATCCATAAAAAAATTTCATATGTGGAAGCTGTAAAAAGCACGACCAATCATTTTAGCCGGCCCGGCTAAAATAACTGGATGGCCTGCCTGCCTGTCAGCCTTCCATCTGTGCACAAACTTATCTCGTGCCCTCATTGGTCATGTGCGCGTTCGTGTGTGTTGGAGGAGGGGCTCTGTAAGGAAGTGGCAGATTTTTTCCGGTTGTGTATTTTCAAATTCTAGCGCACTCGAGCTGGTTTCTCCAAAATTACCTACCCCACCTTTAATTGAGCAGCCCTAACCTCTTGAGACATCCCCTCTGCAAATGTGAGCAATCAAAGCAGGAAGTGGGCCTTTCTGTTTCTGTTGCAGAAAGTTAAAACAAAATCTGGACGTACTGAACGTTAGGGTTAGACAAGGTAAGAGTTCTGTATATAAACTAGGGATGGGAATTTGAAAGCAAATGTATATTCGACCCCCAAAAAAACGGTTAACCGATTTTGAAAAATAAATAAATACATGTTCAAATAAGTATAGAAACCAAGTCGAATTTGTCAAATGTATTGAACTGGTGATCACAGTTTGAACAGGTGACAGCTATAGGCCTACAGCTTTCATGCTTAAAACATAACTTGGTTTTTAAATTAAAGAGGGATCATACACGAACAACATAACGGGTTAGGGTAACGTAACCCTATTACAACAGAGATCAACAACCTATAACAGGGCCTATGCACAGAATGCAGCTATTCAATACTCATTCTTGTTTAAGAATATGAGCATGTCTATATGCTCAGGGGAGAGGCGATTCACAATCAGGCCAGCTGTAGAGAAGACCCTCTGCTGGAATTTGGGCATAAGATGAGGTTTGAATCTGTGTGATCTGCGTGTAGGGAGGGGCAGCAAACGCGAGTGAAGTATAACCGGACGCGAGAGAGAGATCAGCACCTGCAGCTCTGCCCGCTGTGAGGGACCGGTGAGCGGAGCAAAACACACCTTTAGACCTAACACATTTAGCTATGGCACTGTCGTATACATTGAATTACTCCATTTGATAATATGTAATCAACTTAGGCACCCCTCCCAACAACAACAAAATAATAATAATACAAATATTCATAACTCATATTTGAATACCTGAATAATTTCGAATATTCGAATAATCGTTCCCATCCCTAATATAAACATATTAATATGCTTCAGGTCAAGTGTTCCGCATTCATTCCAGTACTGGCTGGATGATGGATGGTGTGCCTTCATACCAACATACCTGATGTGGGTTCAACCCGAGACTACAATCAATCTTAATGGGCTAACATGCATTAAGTGAGCTAGCTGCCACTCTGCTCTTCTGTAACTCGGGTACATCATTGCATTTATTGTACATGCATCAATCAAATGCCTCTCGACACACTGGGCAGTGTTTAAACCAGTCGGCCCTTCTATTTCTGAAGAAGGAAGGCATGCTATAGTATAGTGGGTGGCCATGTATGCCTGCTGTTGGAGCAACTCCCCTAATGTCACTGTTCAGACTTTATAACATATTATTTATATCTAAAATTAAAAAAAGGACAACTTTTCCGACATAAATTAAGCATAAATCTTTCTTTTGTGGCATCAATTAGCTGCTTCCTTCTGGTGTTTTCATTTAGGGAGTCTCAAGTGCAAAAACACGTGTGGATATAAAAACTAGGGTTGCAATTGAGGATTATTAATGATACATTTGACCATCATTTTTCATAACAATCAAGGTTTTGTCTACAAAATGTCAGAAAATAGTGGAACATTTTCATCCCAGTTTCTCAAAGTTCAAAGGGACATGATCAAATGTCTTGTTCTGTAAGCAGAAGTAGCAGGACATTTCTATATTTGAACTGCTGAGATCAACATGTTCCACCATTTTTGTACATACAAATATTTGGAAAATGTATATTTTTTGAGCAGCTTTAATAAACACACTTTAAGGTTGTTTAGAATAAGGTTCCACTAGTGCTGCACTTTCATAATTGCATGAAATCCAAGCTGCAATCTACTCCGGGAGCGTGCATTGATCTGTGGGGTGTGAGCGAAACATAAATCTGTCCCGATCTAATTGATTGATGGAATTCTGTGTTTGTGCAGAAGTGTCCATTGACTGGAGCGGTGAGGACGTGTTCCTTCACTGACATGTCTTCTGCAGTCACCTTGACTGACCCAGTTTGCCTTACAGTGTGGCCCTTTGCTTTAAGCCAGACTGATGTTTGCTGCAGTCAGTCAAATGCTTTGAAGAGGACAAGGGGGGCCTTAACCTAAAAGACTTGCGTGGCTACATGAAGCCACGTCTTGTTTACCAGAGGACCTTTTTCTGTTATGTCAGGCACAATTTTGTGGTGATTAGAATTTCATATGACTATGGTTTGATACATTTCTAATAGCAGAACCAAAAAAAATAATGTAAATGTGCACACACATCAAACATCAATCTTGCTGCACTCAGTGGGGACACACTTGCAGAGGGGGTAGTATAAGCGCCTTAATGCAGAGGTGAATAATGATATCACATGTTTTCTGGCGATGAGGAGCTGATATGCCTTTACCTGCTACTTGTGTTTTTCTTGCTTTTGCTTTTCCTTTTCAAGCTTTCCGTCTCTCCGCTGCTGATGAAGGGTGGCATGGAGGCATAGCCGTGTTCAGCTTCTGCAAGCAAATAAACAACACAGTTGTCACGTGTCCATATATATGGCAATGCAAAATATAGCTACAGTGAAAATATGCGAAACCGACAACAGTAGTACTGGAAAATGTGCCACATTTAATCTTAAGCTTATTGAGAATTCAGTAGCAATGTCTTGTGATTAAATGCAGCATGCAATGGATGGATTTCATGCAGTATCTTTAGACAGTATTTTCTCTCCTCAGCCTGGACAATGATGTCATCCTGAACTGGAATAAACCCCACTACCAAACCACAACAGAGGGAAAGGAGGGGCCTCCATGAAAACAATGTCTCCCTGCACATCTAACTACACCTGCACAATATGCTTCTCATTCATCAAAAAAAGGCAAATGCACGTGTTTTTTGTGCGTGCAATATTTCCCAAAAATGTCAGAATATTGATTAATTGATTGATGTGCACAATTTATTGCATTTATGAATGCATGGCTCCGATTACTTGGATGTAAAAAGAAATAAAGGGCTGCCTGCAACAGGATTGAAAATAGCTTGCATACATTAGCATGATTGAGGGGGAGGGGTGTGATTGTAATTGTTCTTGTACACAACATAGATTGTAGAAAACAATACACTTTACCTCGTTCCCTGCGCTCAAGATACTCGGCTGCTTCGATCAACATCTGCACCATTCCGATCGCCGCCATTTTCCACAATAACACTGATATTAATGTAACAATCCGATGAGGGATTCCTTGGATGTACACAACTTGCCTCAGGTTCTACCAATGCTCGCCTTTTTACACCCTGGTGGCTGTTCTAGTTATTTCTTTAAAAAAAGGCAGTTACTCCTAGAGCCAAACCGTCTTATTTTCAAGTTAAATGTACTAAAATCAGCACCATTCAATTAAAAGACAGGCTCTTTTTAATGACTGTTTAAACGGTTCAAGGGTTTAGTGTTAGGTGCCTTGTCAACGCTAACACTTTTAGCCCTTTTTTTTTTATCAAGCAAAGTGATTAATATCGTTGGTTTTGTAGTTCTTCGATGAAAAAAATAGCTTGTTGACAAAACAAAACGACTTGCTTGACTTATACAAATAAAACCGAGTATTGTTCCTTTTTGTCAAAACAAAAATGAGCTAACGTTAACACGATAAAAACTGCTAGCTTGGTTGATGTAAAAGATTAGGTCAATCAAAAAAAAACGACCGTTGGCCGTCAGTTGGTGTAAAAATGGATAAAAAAACACGAGCTAGTTGTCTTGAAAAGTTCAACCGACGAAGTCTTCTAACCTTATCGTTTCAGGGCTATGTGGCTGGTTAGTTCTGTGCTGGTTTATCGCTGATATGTCTCTCTGGAAACGCAGATAGCTGACTGACATCAACTGAGGAACAGTGAGTGTTTATCAAACTGCTTCCAAAATAGTGGCTTGTTGATCTGGACGTCAGTTAACTACTGTAGCCGACTTCACCACAAAGCTCCCGTGTACTGCGATACGATTGGCTACTGGACATAACCAGTCAAGCTCCTACTGGATATGTATGCCGTCAATCACCAACGCCTCGTCACCAACTGCCACTGGGCTCTTGTTCCGCCATTTTGGTTCTAATTCACATTAGCAAAAGCGCACGGTGTTGAGCCAAGATGGTGACAGTTTCTGCATTCAACAGTCGGATCCTGTGATTGGTTGTTTGCTGGTAAACTTGTATGCTATTGGTCGCAATGCCCACGAGCTAAAGTGACAACGCCCGCTCAATGACAGGCGACACGCCTCTCTGCCATGCTGGTTCGCGGTGTACGGTGAGGATTGGTTGCCATGATGTTGTTTGTCTAATTTCGTGCTCAGTGGTTTGCCGGAATCACATGCTCTCTTATTATTGGACTCTCAATGTCCTATCACAAAGCATATATTCGCGCAGGCGCACTGCCTAGTGAAACGTGATATCAGCCAAAAGCCTGCTTTAAAATCAGACGGATGTCCTTATTTAAAGCAGGAACAATATAAATACTGGACCTACTACACTAACGACGACTTGGGATAGGTTATTCTGCTGCATACTGCGTTCATCCAGGACTAAATGTAATAAATGGATTGCACACCACTCCATAGCATAGGCTTGTAGAAAAACATCAAATTAGGTTAAATATGGTGACAACTTGACAAACACACAAGCAAGCAAGCAACACACACATACCCAAGTATTTAAGTGTAGAATTAGCTGCATTTAGACATTCATCCACACTACACCATGTTATAATCAAAATGTACAATAGCTAAATGTTGTTAGAAAATTAAATGTTACCACACATCATGGCAAATGCAACAGGAACATTTGGCTTTATTTATTCTTATAATAAGAACTGCAAACACACATATTTAAACTGCTTTTATTTCAAATAAAACCGCCCAGGCACCTCAACAACACAAAGCTCCACATATTGTGTCTGCTTAAAATAATCAGTCACAGCCGAGTGTTGATAGGAGATTTAAAAAGTATATACATAAATGTTGCATAACACAAAACAAGAAATAGCTCAATATCATCCACAACTATAAAGAAGGAGTACGAAGGTGAGTTTCACGAGTTGTCGATACTTTCAGGCGATGAAGTCCAGTGGTCTGTTGAATCCACCTTTTCTGTTCATGTATTGCCTAAAAAAAAATATATATATAGGAAAACATTACATCACTGTTACCCTCGCAACACTTGCAGATTACATCATCGAGCACCAATAGGGGAGCCGGGATCTCTGCATAGAGACACCTGCAAAAGGTGATTGGCTAAAGTAACAGTGGATGATGCTGAGAGCGCTCTGAAAAGTTGACACTCGTACTCAAGACACCTTATCAACAACAGGGGCTCAAAGAAAATCCTAAAAATCATCACTATATATTACAACAGGAGCATGTGCAACTATTCTCAAAAACTGTCTGTTGCTAACAAAAAACACCTCAATACAAACCGGATTATTTATTTTATTTTGTTGTTGTTGACATACCTGTATTTTCTCTTCATGGAAGTATTGACAGCGAATGCATTGACTGATCCGTCAGTTTTCTTCCCCTGTTTGAAAGGAATCACATAAGACAGTGCAAGGTGTATTTTTTGACATATTAACAATATTAGGGGTTTCTTCAGTTTAAGGAGATAAAATACTTTTAAAATGCCAATCTTTTTTTCCCAAATAGCTAAAGTTTCTGATTTTAAAATGCTTTTTGAGAAAACTGCAAGTCATAAAACCCTACATCCTTTACCAAAGCATTTAATAAAACTTTGATTTAAGACATTTTAGTAATAACTAGGCCTTATTTTTAAATGAATGAATTAATGAATGTTATGCCTTAACACCCTGAGAATATGCAGGAACTCTATAAATGTAGTAGAATATGCTTGAATTTTAAATAGGAAGGTTTTAGAGAAAGTCAAGCATACGACTAGATAAATGAGACTTGGATTAGACTGCATTGGTCGTGAAAGAGTTTGCAAACAGATGTTTTGATATCGTTTTTGTATTGTTATATATTACCCCAAGTTAGCAATTGAAGGTTGATTGTTGTCCAGAAAAAGAGTCATTATAAATATCAATTAGAACATATTTCAGCACTTCATTGTCAAAGGATGATAAATGTTGCAATAGAAGCAAGACCACCGTCACATCATCAATAAAGCACAGTAGATGATATGTGAATATTGACCACTAAATAATCAGGATCTACCTCTAATGATACTGTGGGCATTCACCATGTGTTTGGGCAAATTCAGAGAATAACTACGACAAATTGGCAAGTAAAAAAGACAAGGACAAAACAAACACTGGCCGTTTCTCAATGTCGAGTAAACCTGCTGCAGAGCCACTATTTCAAGTATACTACGTCATCGAATGGCGCCGAAGGACTGTTTAAATGCATGTTAAATGCCCAGCATTCGGCGCCACTCCATGACGTAGTATACTTGAAATAGTGTCTCTGCAGCAGGTATACTCGACATTGAGAAACGGCCAGTATGTCTATCTTCAGTTAAGCTGTGGAATAAAAAACTGTATTTTGAACAAAGTGCGCCTCCTTGTGGCTGCACACCACAGGACACCCTGTGCTCTCACCTTGGTGGAGTTAAAGGAACCAAATCCCATCAGCTTCATCATCTCAATCTCCTCTTCGGTTTTGCCCTCCATGTCTTCCTCTGTGAAAACGAAAGGATGCTTTTGAAGTTTTGCTGAAAACCTAAATGTTTCTCAAAGCTGAAAGTCTTTTTAAATGCATGTCAATATAGCATTTAGGGGCACATTAACATTTGAATACCTGAGATCAGAATTGGCTTTGCAGCCTTTTCCTTCGGCTCTTTGCTGTCCTCATCACGCCGTTCGGAGGATGTGGAGCGATGGCGTCTGGGGGGAGACCTGCAGGGGGAACGAGGAAATGTGAAATATAACTGCAGGATGCTTCTGCAACTTAAAGGGAATATAATGGTCATCATTTGTGTAAGTCTAATACCTGGACCTAATGTTCCCATGTTTTGGTGTCTAATGGCGCATTTCCACTACAGCGCGGAGCTCGCTTTAAGCGTGCTGAGCCGTGCGGGGCCCGTTTTTGGTTGCGTTTCCACTTAGCGTAGTACCGGCTAGCGGGTACTATTTCACAGTTTTTCTGGCCCCATAAAATCGAGGTTCTTTCCGGGCCAACAACCAGGCTGAGTCGGGCTGAGTATGCTAAACTAGAGAGAGAATGAACATATTTGACCGTGATTTAATTGTAATACACGTTTCAAAAAGATGCCGAAGTAACAACATACTGATACCGGTTAGTAAAAACCATGAATTAATGCGTTGACAAGTCTGCAGACAGACGGCAGGCGAAAAACCTTTTAAAATGCGTGTTGTCTAAATGGAGATCGGCTAAGCTAACGCAGTATATGCTCCGACCGTCCACACTCACAACAACGGCCTATACAGACATAAATAAACCAGCGACTGTATTCGCCATGACACAGGCAGTCTGTGGTTTGTACTTGTTTAACTTTTGTCTAGTTTCTGAACAGATATGAGGAGCTGTGAGCTTGAGTGCTAACAGCTGATGTTGTTTTTCTGGGGTTCTCATTGAAGATGACGTCACGGCTCCGCCTACACTGCGTTACTATAGATACTACCCCAGTTCCTAAACTGTAATGGAAATGCGCCATAAAGTGAGCCAGTCCTAACAAGGCCTAGCCATACCGAGCCATAAGTGTCTAACGGAGACAACAATACAGGTTTCAATGCCATCGTTCAGCAAAGGACAACCACTTAAAAGGGTTTGCTTTTACCCCAGGCATACGTGTTATAACTGTCAAATCTAATTAGGGAAAAGGAGCCTACAGAGAAATATATCGCGGTGCAAAATGGCCCACATTGCGACACACGTTAAGTGGCCTCCTGTTGCAGTGTTACCGCAGCAGTAATACTGAACTTATTTCATAAATTGGCATTCACATTATTCATTAATACACACAAAAAAATGGGAGGATAGGATCATGGATGACAAACACAAAGTCTCATTAGCAGATACATGTGCTTGTTCTCAAAAGGCAAATAGTACCTTACATGAACTGCAATCATTCAAAACAAAGCTAGTCTTTGACAATTACCTAGACTCATATTTGTTGACAATATAAAACACATTAAGTCTCAAATGTAATATTTATTAGGGCTGTGCGATTATGGCAAAAATCATAATCACGATTATTTTGGTCAATAATTGACATCACGATTATTAAATACGATTATTCATTGACTTTGAAAACATCAATTTATTGAACTTGAAAAAAAATACAAATAATAATTTGAACAGTATCTTATAACTGTTGATTACCCCGAGCGTATAATTCAACTGAATAACCAATAAATAAAATAAATTATACATTTATATTTACATTTAAATAAATAATATCAAAATAATAAATACCAATAAACAAGATCAACAAATATTTTGGAGCGCACTTCAACAAGCTACTAAACATATATAAATATGATAAATACAAATAAATGAGATCAAATATGTTGCAGTGCACTGTCACAACCAAGCAAAGCAAAATAATCGTTTTTTCCGATTATGTTGTTTTCGTAATTGTGGCAGGCCAAAATCGTAATTGCGATTAAAATACGATTAATTGCACAGCCCTAATATTTATCTTACTTTTGTGTTAAAAATCTAAATAGCACACTGCAATCATAAAAGGAATCAAGAACCCCAGACATAAATATAATTAAAAAAGAAACGTGGCATCCCATCCAGTCTTTCCTCACCTGGATCGTCTCCTGTGAGGAGATCTGGAGCGACTTCTCCTGCGCTCACGATCTCGAGAACGGGATCGCTCCTTCTCCCTTCGCCTTCGCTCACGATCCCGAGAGGTGGAGCGGGAACGCCTTCTCTCTGCAGGGGAACGAGATCATATTAGCCGGGAACTGAGAAATGTAACAGGGCATCCACACAATAACAGTGCTCCACACACCATTAAGAGGTGTGATTTAAAAAGGGCTTAACCTCATCCATCTGTTGGCTCCATGCGTTTCTAATTAAAGTGTATGTGTAGTTTTCTTTTGCAAAGACAGAGTGAAATGTATGCCACACGTAGGACTGACAATTATAATGATTTCTATTATTAGCTTGATCAATCTCTAAAATGCCTGAAAGTAGTGAGAAATATCCATCACAGTTAGTCCAAGCTCAAGTCTTTAAATGTCTTTTATTTTCAGTTACTAAAATAAAATAAAAAAAAGCACTTTCATATGATATAAAACAGAGAAAAGCAGGACATTTCTATACATCTGAGAAGCTGAATTTTTCAGCCCATTTTGCATGAGCATTTAAGTTAATAATATTTCTGTTTAATTGGTGGATAAGAGTGCCTATTCATTCTTCATGCAAATGTATATTGTTGTTGATATAATACAGATATTACATTGTTTTCAGGACACGTTACCTTTACTCTTTACTTTTTCGACCTCAGGTAGAACTTGGCCGCCTGAATATGCAAGAACACATTAAAATACTGTACAGATATATAAGGTAAGTCTGATCTTAACCAACGTGCCTTTAAAGTGTATAGTTTGAAACCCGGCCCTGCAATGAAAGGTATAGAAATGCAGTCACATATTTTAAAATGATGTAATCTAAATTGACAATAACAAGCACAAACCAACTCAAATGTTTCCTAAAATGTGATGTTTTTACGGAACATCATGTAAAGATCAAAGTTCTTACATCACTCTTTAAATCAGTCGATGTGATTAAAAGACTGGACTCAGGTTGCATCTGTATTTCACAATCAGAAACAGGTCTATTGCCAGGTAGTTTTACACATACGAGGAATTGTTCTTGGTGTACTTGATAGACTACATAAAACACAGTTAAAAAAGATACAAAGTGAGAAAAAGAACACCCCAAAAAAATACATTTGTGTGCATGCATGTAAACATAGTAAGTGTATAGCTTGAAATATGCTATGTTTGCACGAAACTTCGTCATTAAATGAGATTTATTTGTATCTGTCCAGTATTTGATTCAAACAGAAGTATTACAAATTACATTTTCAATTCTAAATCAGACTTTATTTAGGAGTTAGGACACAACTCATGGAGGTCTAAAATAAAAGAATGATGATAGACGAAAAAATAAGAAAAATCGAGATTAGAAAAATAACTTTATCGTGATATAGCTTCTATAATTCTGCACTTTCTAGAACTTACTGTGAGCCTTCACATACTCGGACTAATTCAAAACCCATATGCATTAAAATTCAATATATGTATTACTCAGTTTTAATTAATTGACTATAACGTGTATCACATTGGAACCCGTTGTTATGGTTACATTAAGAAACATCGGATTATTAGTGTAGTAGTGTGTTGTTGTAAACATGCGACGTTAATAATGTTTTGCTTTCTAGTGTGTTAATTTAATTGTCACATTGTGGTAATGTCTGCTTTCTTATAGTGTGAAATAAGATAAAATGTGTTATGTTTGGAGCTCGGTAGCATCATCATTAGCATCATGCGTTGTGTTTACGTTAGCTAAATTAGCTTAGGTAGCTAACGATAACTTCTAAGAATTCTTACCTCGTCTTGGAGGAGTCCGACTCCTGCTCCTGCCCATTTTCTTTTGAATCAAAAGTGACCCTAGTAGTTAAAGGTATTACTGAATATAATACAATTAAAGGGGAGAATCTTTACCAAACTGTGGGTTGTTTTGTATGGCTACCACTTCAATGCAGGATGGTCTGTTGTCTGTTGCTATGCTAACTTCCGGTTAGCTTCCTGCATTAGAGCGCACTCTACCGACGTGGAGGAAAGTCGCCGCCTGTTTTAGAGCTATTGACATCAATGGTTCTCAATTTAAACAAAAAGGAATAACTAATTTTATATATAAATGCTATATAAATAAGGATGTAGTTTAAATGTTCAACTGTTACCATGAATACACAAAATATGTATACCGTGACACATGATATATTCATTTACATATTAGTATTTTTAAATGTAGTTCATTTAGTAATTTACTTATTCATGTAATCACACATGTATTCTCTTTTGTTCATTGACTTTTGATGGATGAAAAGGAAATGGATGAATTTGTTTTTCAACAGGACATTACACTATGAATTCATATAAAAACATTACAAAAATAACCGTGTGAAAATGAATGAGTGAATTAACTTGTATAGGAATAAATAAATATATACAAAAATGTGCAAATAAATGAAGAGACAAATAAAAAAATGTAATTAAATGTTTCACTTAATTTGTGATTTATATTGTATTGGGCCAATTAAGTATTAACCTACATAATGATTGCATTTTTATTTATTCAACCATTGAATTAAATTGTTATTTAAACTGTAGTTATTTTTCATTGTCTTCTCTTTAAAAAAAATGTTGTATGGTATTTCGTTGTTAAATTAATACAAATAATAGTACTTTGTCAAACAAGCAGAGAAAGAAACGTAAACCAGATGTCCAGTTGATTTTAAATCAAACTTGATCTTTAATGACTGATACATGGTCACCTTGCAACACTCACTTATACATTCTAATATAAAATAAATTAAAACCATAAGCAAACATCACACATCAGCATATCTGATAACAGCTACTGGTTACAACTGAAAATAAATACAACTGTTAAGAGGTATTTTGCACACATACACTTAAAAGAACATGAGAAAAGTGGAATGTTTAGTACCTTCAGTATCTTCTATTACTGGGTTTCAAACTGCATCGGCAAGCAACAAATTATTTATGCTTCATCCTTTTTCGGGTTAATAGAGGCATTTAAAGCGACTTGTGTTTTGTTTGCGAGTCAGTTTTTCTTTATTCTTCCCTGCTGCAATAACGTCAATAGGCTGATATTTTCACACAGAACCAGCAATCAGAGGAGCACAATCAGAAGCTATCAGTGTATTTCTACATGTACTGCACCTGTGCTCACAGAGTATACCTGCAACATCTATCTGATAAATAAAACCAAATAATGACTAGAAGATGCCTATGATGATGAACAAATACAACGTACTAAAATGTCAATATACATATGTCAAGTGCCTCTTACATGGATAATTGGTGCATAATTCAAGGGGTGTTAAATGTCTGCCGTGTCTTGCAAAGTTGTGGATTAAAAATCAATGGTATGAAACAAATTCTGAGTGCACAAGTAACTAAGTTTAAGAAAGAGTGTTTGAATGCCTATACAGTGAAGTTAAGTAATGGTTTGATAGCACAGCAGGTGAAAATAAGACGTGAGTAATACAGGGACTGAGTGTGTGTGACAAGAAGCATCAGGTTGTACCGGACCTGGGTCAAATACTGCGTGAAAACATGATCAGTGTTCTTTAACCTAAGGTGAGACACTACAGGCAAATATATCTTTCATATTACTGGAAGGGAAATATAAGAAAAACACATTTGTGTCTTTGTAGATTTTTACTTAATTCACCAAAAGTTAGCATTAGATGATGGTTCTTTTGCATATTTAAACCAACATTTCTTAATGTAAGTAACTGGAGGGAGTTTCATGTTGATGTCTTAAGTTATTTTTACCCTATTCTCCTGTAGTGTGTACAAAATGAATTTTACAGTGTATATCTTTGAAGGCAGTTTTCTCAAAATGAGTCAGAAAATTCCACTTCAGTAGCAATTACTGAACATTAACCAAACATTCATGCCTATGTTTATTCTGAGGGTTATTAAAGAGGGGTTTGTTCACACACTCTTCGGTTTATAGAAGGTTTTATTTAAAAAATGATGGTAGAAACTGATTTATGGTTTGGTACAAAATATAATTGTCTTATGTAAGTAACTGAGGAAGTATAATGGCGTTATCTATTAGTTAATAAACTAAGCCTGTTCACCTGCAGTGTCTCCCTTAAGATGGATCACCACTTAGATCGAGCATCAGTGTTACAGTAAAGTATTTGTAAGTGAAGTTAGTACACCGTGTCTGTGAAGGACATCTGAACTGACTCTAGATCTGCTGCTGTGGTTAACTCTGTCACACACTAAGGAGATGTTTCACTGTGGTATTTCACCGAGGTCCGGGGTCCCTGAACGCCTCAGGTCTCGGCCTTCTCCTTCTGCTTCTTGCTCTTCTTCAGGAACGACGGCGGCTTGAACTTCTTCTTCTTCTTGGATGGGGACTTGGAGGGCGAGCACTCGGGGGTGCCGCCTTGTGGTTTGGGCGGCGGAGCGGCGGGCGTGGAGGTGGTGTCGTTGGTGTCGTTGGTGGAGAGAGCCTTCATCCCTTTCTCAAGCTCCTCCGTCGTCTGCTTCTCCTCCTCGCCTCCGTTCTGTATGGCTGGAGACTCGGGCTTTGCCTCTTCTGCTCCAATACAAAAAAAACATAAAGTAATGAGCAACATTTACAGAGAGCCAGAGGTGGGAAGTAGTGGAGTACAAATACTTTGTTACTGTACTTAAGTACATCTTTCTGGTATCAGTACTTTACTCCACTACTTATTTTTCGGACAACTTTTTACTTTCTACTTCTTACATTTTGAACACAAATACCTGAACTTTCTACTTCTTACATTTCCCAAACAGGCTGGTTCCTTTAGTTTGAATGTGTGTTTGGTGGCGTGATCATTATTATTTAGAGTCATTGCGTGCCTATTGATTTGAACACGATCCGTGTATCCATCATTTCCTGGTCTTCTCTAAAGAAGAGGGACCAATGAAAACGTTGTCATGTTGCCGTTGTTCAGCATGGAAACATTCATTAGCTAACAATGACATTATTGTTCTATTAATATAAAGGGAGGTCAGGTACTCTTTAAAACAGATGGTAGTTATGGGTACTTTTCACTTAAGTACATTTCAAAGCCCATACTTCTTTACTTTTACTTGAGTAAAGAAGTTTAGTCAGTACTTCTACTTTTACCAGAGTATTTTTAAACACGAGTATCTGTACTTCTACTTGAGTAAAGGATGTGTGTACTTTTGCCATCTCTGAATAGAGCTGAGTGCAGCTGCAAAGCTACATGCTGGACATGTCACTGCAGATGAACATGCTTGCTTAAAAGGAATATTTCACCCACAAAATGATCTATTGAATTTCAATTATTCACCCTGGGTTACGTTGAATTTGGGAAGAAAACTTTGGTTTTTGTCAGCAGGATTTAACTAGAATTCATCAAGAATATTCTCATTTTTCTGATCCTTGTTTCCCGTGGAACACGTGAGAAAAATAAAATGTTCTTCACAAATTCAAGGCAACAAAGGTTACTGATGTACAAATGATTATTTTGGTAGTGAAGTATTAGTTAAATGGGTGGTGGGTTGTCATTCTCTGTACTTACTAGTGAGAGAAGACCAAAGCACCAGAAGTGTGCCCTACGATTCAGTCACACAGAAAAGGACAGACAGACAGACAGAGTACAACACAGTAGGTACAGATGAAACATGTAATGTAAATAAAGCCAAAATAACAGACATTTTGACTCATAACAGAAATATATTCTCCATTTACTTTGAGTCATTTTCAGGGCAATGCCTGCTCACTGGAAGATATACAAGTAAAGAAAGTTTTATTAGTACTTTTAACCTCCTCCTGTATTTTTCTGTTAGTTCAAGTCAAAATGTCTTTCATGAGAAACATCAATAACACATGGTAACAAAAACAGCCCATGTTACGCCTTTAAATATAACATGCAAACCTTTTCCAGCACTTTGCGCTTATATGTTGTTTTTATTTGTGCTGTGTTGAGGTTGTTTGTTTATTTAGAATTTTAAATTGTAGTCTGCGTTAAAATTTAATTGAATTATAGATTTTTTTATTATTATTTATTTAAAAACATTGTCTTTCTTACATTGTTTTGCTGCTACCTTAGGCCTTTATAGAACAAGCTCAAATCATTGCATTATGTTGAAAGGGCTGGCTGTTTTTACAGAGCTTAAACAACCTGGAATAAGATGGAGAACAGTCTAATGTTTACCTCATTTCTATTGATAGGGCAATTTAAATAAATAAGGAGGTTTAACACAGCTGTTTCTAAATTAAAAAAGAGGTTTAACAAAGCAGTTTCTGAATGTGTGTATGAACTTCTAATAAATAAATGTTACAGTAATGTGTGTATAAGCTGCATATACGATTGTTTTTAAGTGTGTACTGTAGGAGCCACAGGTGGGAAGTAGTGGAGTACAAATACTTTGTTACTGTACTTAAGTACATTTTTCTGGTATCAGTACTTTACTCCACTACTTATTTTTCTGACCACTTTTTACTTTGACTTCTTACATTTCTAACACAAATACCTGTACTTTCTACTTCTTACATTTTCCAAACAGGCTGGTTCCTTTAGTTTGAATGTGTGTTTGGTGGCGTGATCATTATTATTTAGAGTCATTGCGTGCCTATTGATTTGAACACGATCCGTGTATCCATCATTTCCTGGTCTTCTCTAAAGAAGAGGGACCAATGAAAACGTTGTCATGTTGCCGTTGTTCAGCATGGAAACATTCATTAGCTAACAATGACATTATTGTTCTATTAATATAAAGGGAGGTCAGGTACTCTTTAAAACAGCTGGTAGTTACGGGTACTTTTTACTTAAGTACATTTCAAAGCCTCTTTACTTTTACTTGAGTAAAGAAGTTTAGTCAGTACTTCTACTTTTACCAGAGTATTTTTAAACACGAGTATCTGTACTTCTACTTGAGTAAAGGATGTGTGTACTTTTGCCATCTCTGGTAGGAGCTGGGTATAAAGAGCTTTAACAATACTTTCTGCATGTGTGAGCTGTGTATTAGGGATGTAGAACGGTTGTTTCTAAATGTGTGTGTGAGCTGTGTTTAAAGAGGTGTAACACAGGTTTCAGAAAGCGTATGGAGCATGAGGGCAGATGTCAGACTTGGAGCAGCTGCTGGTCGGCGTGCAGAGCGTGAACGGCCTCACCTGAGAGAGGAGGGGGACTCTCTGTGGGGGAGGCAGCGGGGGGAGACTCCTTGTCATTTGCCACCTCCTCCCCTACTCACACAAACACACACAGGGAGGGACAGTGAGGCTGTGCAGGAAGTTAGGAGTTGTGAACATAGTGTACACCACAGACACAATGGGTGTTTCTCAATCTCGAGTAAAGCTGCTGCAGAGCCACTATTTCAAGCATACTACGTCATCGAGTGCCGCCGAAGTACTGTTCCAATCTCCAGCATACTTGGAAATCTACCGAGCCCGCCGTACTTCGTTTGGAGACATTTCGAGGCTGCACATGTGTAGACTCCGCGGTCTTAAAATCCCCACAATGCTTTGCGCACGGACCAATTTCCCCAAATCTGTGGCGGAAAATGTAAGGCGGGGCCTCTCATATGACGCACACCTGCACATTTGCTCGCCTGTTCCACTCTTGGTTTTCCGAATGCCAGGAAGTATTCTTGCCTCGCTTCTGAAGCAAGACGCTCGGAAGACATGTGCTACCAAGCAAGCGTACTCGACATTGAGAAACACCCAGTATGTTCAGGGAGCTGTGTGTAACCTCCAAAAATAAAACTTAGATAAGTGAACAATTCGTTTTTGAATATTTTGAAACATGTTGAACCTTAAAACATGAATTCAGAAGGGGTACAAATCATGCTTTATAGCACGAAACTGTGAAAACATTTGGTACAACTATAATAGAATATATAGTGTTGGCAGGAATTTTGTTACACACAGCACCTTTAAGAAGGTTAGAGGAAAATGTGCAATTTATCATAAGCGGAAGTGAGCTACCTTTAATATACATATAATACGTTTATATAGCCAGAAGTACATGAAAGAAAGAGGAGGAATTCAAGGTAACACTGTGTGAGTTACTAATATATAAAAAGGACAGTTTTTTGGTTGAAGTGTTCCTTCAAACTATCACATATGGGTAAAACTGAAACATACTTTGATCCATATAAAGCACAGGGAATTAACTTTTAATAGCTATATTGTGTTTCATTTATCCCCTAAAATATTCATATAAAACACAAGAAATTAAATAAAAAAATAGCAAAAAACTAAATAAATACAAATATATATATATATAAAGACAAGAAGTCAAATAAAAAAATGCAAAAAAATATTTAAATAAACGGAAGAAATGTAACTGTGTCCATTTTACAATATGTCACAGCAATAGAAATGTGTATATTACAATCTTGATAAAGTTCTAAGCCTAAGTGTAAACAGACAACGCAGTAACTATTATGCTTTTTTAACTGCAAGGTAAACATCTAAATAGAGTTTATAAAGTGGGCTGAGTCGTGTGAAATGAATCCTACCGTTGGTTCCTCCATCCTGTTTCTTCTGCACCTCCTTGCGGTACTCGTCCAGCTCCTGGTCCGTCAGCTGGTTGAAGGGGTTGGGAGGTTCTGGTTCTGGTGGGACTTTAGGAGTGTCCACAGGAGACTAAAAGACAAGCAGAGACAGAAAATGAAAGCTTTTAATACGACAGCTGAGGGAGGAGGACTCAGAGAGGAGAACAGATGTTGGTCTGCAGTTTACCGGAGGACTGTCGATCGTTATAACGCTGGCGAGGACTTGAGACTGCGGTCCAGCCGTCTTCATGTCCTGACGATTCTGCTGTCGGATCTGAAGAGAGGAACAAAAAGTCTTGTTTGTTTCACATAGATAGTATGCAAAGATAGACCAGAAGACAACTTTGCAACTATATTACATGAGACAGAAGCATAGACAAGTTTGAGAGGATCTAAAGTTGCAAATAAACTCAAACTGCACACTGCCTAACTTGCAAAAAACGGAATATTTGTTTACAACATTTCAGTTTGAGAGATTAATCAGGCAATCGTTAGTTACAACTGTAGTAGAATAAAATAAGTATCAGTGTTTTAGTTGCAAATGTCAAAGGTTACACACACTGCCCGACAACACAACTGTTGAATCAAAACAAACTGTAAGAGGGTAGTAGGAACATGTCACTGTGACACTGATAGCAATAGATACCCTATTAAGAAATAGCATATGAATAGAGTATGAGGCAATAAAAGAAGCAGTGAATAAACCCCGCTGGCTGCACCTGAATCCACCTGTCTGGTTTATTCTTGATCTGAGAGTCATGTTTTTCTCCACAACACATTAACAAGCCATCTTTAATATTGTGTGGCTTTTTTAGATTATCAACCTGATTTTTTTTTGTTGATAAAGCTTATACTTAGGGCTGATTAGATTCAGCCCCTAGTTTTGCTGCTATAGGCTTAGACTGTCGGGGGACACCTTACTTCTTCCTTCTCTCTGTCTGTACCTGTGTACTCTCATGTTCCGAATAACCCAGCTTCCCCCAAATTTCTTTTTGGTGTCTATATCTACGCCGGGATCCTGAGTCGTGGCTGATCCTGTTGCTGTGGTCCTGAGTCCTGGATCCTGAGTCGTGGCTGATCCTGTTGCTGCGGTCCTGTGTCCTGGATCCTCTATCCTGAGGTCTGGATCTGAGTCCTGGACTTCGAGTCGTGGCTGAACCTGTCTCTGAGGTCCTGCCTGACTCTCATCATACTACTTCCCTGATGGCTCCCACAGGATTGTTGACATCCTCGTGGATTCATCTTCTTATTATAGACACATGCATTTCCAAACATTTGGTCTACCTATGTTGTAAATATACACACGGCATCTATAGCACGTCTGTCCGTCTTGGGAGAGGGATCCCTGAGGTTTCTCCCATGTTCCCCTTTAAACTGTGGGGTTTTTCCTTTTTTGGAAGTTTTTCCTTGTATGATGTGAGGGTCTAAGGACAGAGGGTGTCGTAATGTCATACTGATATTCTGTACAAACTGTGAAGTCCACTGAGACAAATGTAACATTTGTGATATTGGGCTATATAAATAAACATTGATTGATTGATTGATTGATACAACTAGCCTTCATGTCCCGTTATATTTTTATTTATTTATTTACTTTATCTCTTCTGGAGGCTTACATTGTACACGATGCCATGCCTATCACCCACAACATTTCCAATTTGCAATAAAATGCATGATTATCGTAGAATTATAATTGTAACGCCCCAAAGGTTAAACTTCATAGTGCAGAATTGTTTTTTTGTATATGCAATTTAAACTCTGGGGCTTTAAACAGTAATTTTCTAGGAATCTTTTTTCTTAATCTAAGCAATTTGAGTGTTTTATGTTTGTTTTAAAGGTCTATGTCATCATGGAAATAAATGTGTAAATAGTGAGTGTGATGTTTCAGTTGATTCAGACTTGCAAATCAAGATTCTTGCAGTTTGCAGGATTACATTAGCCAAGTCTGAAAATAAGACGTCACCTTGTTTCGTGTGGCGATCACCTCCTGAGGGTTGGTGAAAAGAGGCACAAACTGGTTGGTCTCCATCTTGATGGCCGTGCTTCCAGATTGTGTTATCTCTTCGGACTTCAACCACTAAAGAAAGACATACAAAATAATATATCATAATCCACTTAAAATAACCAAATGGGCAAAGGTTTAGGACTCAACATGTCCAAAGTGTAAAGGATCCAGTCTGTGTGATTTAGTGTAAAGTCAATTTCTGCCAGTAATAGAAAAAATAAGAACAAAATTATCCTGTTAGTCACACGAGACGTGCTTTCTTGAAATAAAGAGATGAATGACTTAGTAATTAAAATGATTGCCATGAACAAGTGTCTACAAAAAATGACTAAGCATGACAAAATAATAACTTAGTTTCATAAAATAAGGCTTTATGAAAGGTTCTCAGTATTTTGAGATAAGTAAATCTTTATAATAAGAAACGTTCTTATGATTTTGCAATATCAAGTAATTACTTTGAGATATCAAGTCATGATATCATCACGTTGGCGGACATCATTTAGTCATTTGCTTGCTTAAAAAACGATTTTAACCCCTTACAAAGTAGGTTTTTGAAGCTTTGAAAATGTGGATGTTTTTCCACCAGAGGGCAGACTCTGATCCTCACAGAGCAGCGGCTCTCCTCTGCAATGCAGAGAGAGGAGAGAGGAGAGAGGGAGGAGGGAGGAGGGAGGACACAGAGAGGGGGAGACAAGCTCCTCCCACTGATGTAAGAGAACCAGCCTCATATTGTTTTTGTCTCAAAAGGACTCATCACTGCAGCTCTGCCTCATGTTTTCTCCAAGGTACATAGGAATACAAACACATGCTCTACAGTGCAAATCAACACCCATCAGAGTCAGAGAGAACAGTGTTGGTCTTAGATACAGAAACTCGTCGAATGAACATTTCATGTAACCAATTCATTTTTCAAATCATCAGAAAGATGTTAAGTTAACTACTCTGTTTCTCCTCCTTGCATCAGCCACGATCGCCAAGCTTTTTTCCTTCAGTCATCCCTTGAATCCCCCTCTGATCCCTCAGCTCTACAGCTCCTTCACTTCTTTAACCCTTCATGTCATTAGACAGTCTTTATCTCCAACTTTGAAAGGAAACATCTCACACAATCAATCAATCAATCAATCAAATAATCAATAAGCCAGGTGTCAGAAAATATCTCTACAACTATTTTGATAACAGGTCAACTACTGAGTTATTTTTAAAGCAAAAATTGTAGAAAATGCTGCTTTCAGCTTCTAAAATACAGATATTTTAGTATATTATTTTGAAATGAAGATCTTTTGGTTTCCGACAGACCACGCCTTGGACTTTTAAAAACTGGGAAGAATAAACGTCACTATTTTCTGACAATTAGGTCGATAATCTATTCATTTAGAAAATAATCTGCCAATTAACCGATTAGGGGATTAATGGTTAGTTTGAGCACTACTTGCAGCATTCATTAGAACTTTGTCTTTTCAAAAAATATGTAAATTCACAAAAATTGAGCTCAGATGTTGCCAATGACATTTTTATACCAACTGATTAACCCATTAATTAAAAAATACAATCAGTAGATGACTGGATGATTAGAGTAATCCTTAGTTGCAGCTATAGTATGCACTAAGTTGTGGAAGTTGCAATAACCTTACAGATAATGCATGTTTTAGTGCTCCAGCCTGGACCGTTATTTTTTTAAGTCTGGTCATCAAATTTCCTTTAGACAATTCTTGAACTCCCTCCATATTGTGATTTGTTCAATAAATGCGGATGTGGCAAAAGTGCACACATCCTTTACTCGAGTAGAAGTACAGATACTCGTGTTTAAAAATACTCTGGTAAAAGTAGAAGTACTGACTAAACTTCTTTACTCAAGTAAAAGTAAAGAAGTATGGGCTTTGAAATGTACTTCAGTAAAAAGTACCCATAACTAGCAGCTGTTTTAAAGAGTACCTGACCTCCCTTTATATTAATAGAACAATAATGTCATTGTTAGCTAATGAATGTTTCCATGCTGAACAACGGCAACATGACAACGTTTTCATTGGTCCCTCTTCTTTAGAGAAGACCAGGAAGTGATGGATACACGGATCGTGTTCAAATCAATAGGCACGCAATGACTCTAAATAATAATGATCACGCCACCAAACACACATTCAAACTAAAGTAACCAGCCTGTTTGGGAAATGTAAGAAGTAGAAAGTACAGGTATTTGGGTTCAACATGTAAGAAGTAGAAAGTACAGGTATTTGTGTTCAACATGTAAGAAGTAGAAAGTACAGGTATTTGGGTTCAACATGTAAGAAGTAGAAGGTACAGGTATTTGTGTTCAACATGTAAGAAGTAAAAGTAAAAAGTACTGATACCAGAAAGATGTACTTAAGTACAGTAACGAAGTATATGTACTCCGCTACTTCCCACCTCTGATTAAATCAAAAGTAATGATTCTCTGAGCCTCACAGTGGTGCGCTGCCCCGGGCTGTTTAGCTCCTGGTTGACTTTCTGGTAGCTGTTGGGGGTGTTGAGCCAGCGGGTCCTCTCCTGCTGCTGCCTCTGGGCGAACGGGTGCTGCCTCAGAGCCGGGTGCACCCCGTCGTCATCGAACTGGTGGTGAGCGGTCGCTGTGGCCGGCACCTCCACATCCCTCCGTGTCCGCGAGCGCTCCAGCAGCACCGGGAAGCGGTAAGCGTATCCTGTACGGTAGCCCTGGAGGACAAGAGGAGACACAAGATTCAGACTAACTGATTCAGATGCACCATTTGGAAAAAATAACTACTTGTGATTATTTCAAAGTCAAAGTCAACTTTATTGTCAATCTTTCAGTTTGTGTGTACAGACAGAGAGATTGACTGATATTGCAAATGTGCATCTAATTCCTAATATTGGTGGGATTGATTGTTTTTAAATTATCATTCTGATTATCATTGAAAAATACATTAAAAGGATCATGGTGAGATTATTTAAGAGGATCTGCTCATCAATGTTTCGTTATTAGTATTGGTATCTTAAGACATATTTATTATATCAGCCACTTTTCTAATGCATACAAAATACACTTTTACTGTACCAGATCATGTCAATCTGTCATCAATCAGGGGACAACAATTATACTGAGACTTTAACTTAATTAAAAGTAGTCTTATAATCCAACACACTATTTGTCAAAAGCTTGCTTATGTTTCCTTACAGTTGGATAGCTGTCCATTAGGTGTGGTCTGATGAATTCACAACATTTTGACTTTTGGATTGAGGTCGAAGACTACAGAAACGAGGGTCTGCACTCTGTGTGTGTGTGTGTGTGTGTGTGTGTGTGTGTGTGTGTGTGTGTGTGTGTGTGTGTGTGTGTGTGTGTGTGTGTGTGTGTGTGTGTGTGTGTGTGTGTGTGTGTGAGTTATTAAATAATGTATATATAGGACACGTTTAAATTATGCAGTTATAAGGGCATGTGAGGAAAGATGAACAGAGACCTTGTGTTACATTTTCATGTCAACACACATAAAACATCTTGCCCCTCATGGTTTTAAATCCGTCTAAATGTTGGACAGATTGTTCAGAAAATGTTCGGTTAATGTGATCTTTGCATGGCACTTAAAGGAATATATAACATTTTAGGAATTAGGCACATTGGCTTTCTAGAAGGGAACAACATCTGCTTACCAGCCCATCTTACACTGAACTTAATTACACACTTTATCTTGTTTGTTTCACCCCGACAAAAACTCAAATGTAAAATACGTTTATTTTAAGAGACCCTGTTTTTTGATTTTAAATGATAAAATAAGATTGTAGACATTGTTTGGGAGCTTTAGCAGAGCGGAAGCTTTTGTTACTTTCAGACAGAGCCAGGCTAGATGTTTCCCCGTGTGTCCAGTCTTTAGTCATTTATGTTTAATTCGTTTCAGTACTTTAGTAGCCTTTGTGTAGTAAAGTGTAAGAAATCATATCTGCTGATGTGAACTGAACATTAAATGCTGCCGCTTTACATTAAAAGCTTTCCAAACCGCAGGAAAGCTTTTAGGCTTTTATTGTAGAGCAGCTTCAGGAAATGGAGCAGAATTAGTCTCTGCACTTATTCTGAGTTCACATGATTGTGTTAAATAAAAAAAATGATGTGCATTGACCATATAGCAACGTATTGATTACATTTAGGTTGAAATACCTTAAAGGACTTTAGTTGATGTGAGGGTATAATATTTCTTTGTCTATTCAGGCATTTTCATATTGTCTAGACATTATATTTCTGCATGTAGTTAGGGTGGCCACCTCATTATTGCTGTGTTGCAGGACAGCTGGATTCATTTGTGCTTCATGTTGCTAAGATAAGGGTTTATAAATGTTTATTTTGATATCAGATGGAATACCTATCCGCTGTGGCGCAGCATTTTAATCTGCTTTAAAACGCAGTGGGCTTTGTGAAACGTTCAAGGTAACAGCACCGGACCTATTCCATTTTTAAATATAATGAATTGATTATAAAAGAGTAATATTTTGGTTGATGTCGTAATAGAAGAATATTACCCGAGAGAATCAGACCAATGTTCTCAAGGCAGAAAGATGTAATGCTCATTTACAGTAAAAACAGGAAACTCTATATAAAAAGACTTAGGGATAAGTATTTAGCTGCTAATATTAAATTGGTCTACACAGAAGGATATTTTGTCAGTGAAACAGTCTTTATGTTGCAGTAGAGGAGTGGTAGGAGACGCACTGAGCTGCGGAGAGAAAGAGCTGCAGAGTGAATCAGCAAACCTCCCACACAGCAAGGTACAAGAGGTAACTTTGTTTTATTACCTTATTTTATTGTAGAAAGGTTGTAACATGTTATTGTATTTTATTAATATTTCATCAATCACTTATTAACGTTTATAGTTTTTATTTGTTACCACTATTAATGGTATTACAGCCTTTAAATCAATTTTATTACAATTTAATAATTGTTTTTACCTTGCTCATGTTAAAGCTTGAATTGTGTTTTATTGTTTTACAGTCCTATATTTTTATTTTTTATAATTTTACACCATTAAATATATTTATTTATATTTGTATTATGATTAACTGAATTACATGTGAACAGAAAGTAACCTTTTTTAATGTATAATATATGTATTAATCTTCACTTTACACATGTTACAGTATGTTTATTTGAGTTCAGCCTACCAGGTTATCCATGGTTCTCATGAGGGCCTCGAACTCGTGTTCCCCGATGCGGGTCTTGGTCAGCGGTCCGAAGGTGGACCCGGCCCAGCCCACGGTGCCGGCCACGCTGGGTTTATGGACGCTTCGATCCAGCATGATCAGGTTCTGTTCTCCACCAGCACAGCACAGAGCTGACACCTACAATACAATAATAAAACACATTAAAGGTCCCCTATTATACTGTTTTTCATCCATTTATTATAGGTCTCAGTTATATACAGAACATGTCTCTGAACTATATTCAGCATATTCCAGACAGCAAATCAGCTTAAATGAGGGAATAGGCACTTTTATTTGGGACTTAATCCCGTCAACATTTCGTTTAAACTGCAGTCCTGTGCCTTTTTATGCCAATCAGCACATTGTTTACCTGCAATTATGATTATCTGCCACACTGTGTTAATGTACAAGGATGTACTCTTCCAATATCAGAGTACACATGATAACAAAGGTATCCCAACTGTAGCTGTGTACATGGCATATGATAGCTATGTGATTAACATGATGATTCAGCCTCTATGGAGATAGACATATGACAAGCATGATCATTTCTGACGTGGAGCTAATCTGTGGAGCTAATCTGAAGTAAACATTGAATACTGCTTTCTATTCCTCCATATTGTGACTGTGTAACTCCCTCTCTTGGATATCAGCATGTGAAGGACACTGTTCAGGAACTAGTTGATGCTCTGTATGTGAAGACTACTTCCATTCTTGAGAGGATCATAAATACATGGACCCTGATATTGAAGCTCAAGCCGGTGACGAGTGATATTTTTCTAACATGAATACAGTTTGGAAGAATTCTGCGCTTTAAGGACACGTCATCAATCTGACGTAAACTTCTTAGGACCTTTCTCAAGATTGAATTTAAGTGCAATATTGGTGAATGAGGCCCAACGACCTTACAGCCACACTGCTGCTCCTGTAGGATTACTGCAGTGTGTGTTTGGCACGCGACTCTGCTCTCTGTATGGGACTGCAGAGCTGCTGGCTGCGTTACAGGGAAAGAGAACCGAGAGAAGGGCAAATTCTGAGGTGCAGAAATGATGCATCTACAATATTATCACATGCCAGCTCACTTTCCCTCTCACACACACCCACATACATGCAGTGGCAGCTCTCTACGTCAGCTGTTAGTCAGTGCTGTGTGCGTGTGCGTGTGCGTGTGCGTGTGTGTGTGTGTGTACCTGGATCTGGCAGGCAGCCTGGATGTGAAAGATGGTGTAGAAGGCCTCCTCCACAGACTCCCCCAGAGCCACGATGCCGTGATTCCTCAGCACCAGAACCTACACATAACAGAAATGTAGTATTATTTCATGTTTGAAGATCAAATAAAGGTTTGTTAAATTGAGCTGAATGTCTGTCGTGAAGTCATAAAACAAAAAGGAAAAATCTTCAATTTAGTTTTGACTTCCCAAGACTACAGATGGACATTAGCTTAAATCTGTTATGGTGCATGACATGCTAATAACATGTTTTTTTAACTGAACATGGTGGTTTTTAAATAAAATAATGAAATAAATAATACAATGTTTATTATGTGTCGGTCATAAAATGGTGAAAAAATTGCGCTTAAGTTTTTCCCAAAGCAAAAATGGCGCCTTTTATATTTGTTCTATTTTTACTTTCATATAGGAAGAAAAGAATAACCGAAGAAACTTGCATTTAAAAAGATGTAATGAGAGAAATTGGACTTTTTTCCTAAAAAACATACATACATTTACCTATAGTTGGTGATTAATTTAAAAGTTCTTTGGAGGTCTTGAAAAACAAAAAAAGCTGCGCAACTTTAATTCAGGATTTAAATGAGAACTTTATTAATGAAGCTTCAAACTACGAGGTACATCCCTTAATTTATTCGATTATACAACAGCTGTATGTAATGGAGAAATGCAACCGTAGTATTATAAGACACACTAAGACCGACTCCTAATTTAGTCTCCAAGCAGCAGCAGCTTCAATAATTAATCCAGTGAGGAGATCACATCACCTTGAGTCTGAGCTTCATTCATTCATGAAGATGAACAACCCACATGGGAACCTGAGGCAACGATCCATGTGTTTCAGATTAAATGTCTTTGCTCTTGTGTTGCGCTCACCTTACAGGTCGGACCGAGGCTCTTCTGCAGCTCCACCCTGTCCTCCTCCTCCTCCATCACCCCGTTGTAGTCGTAATACGCCACATTGCCGACCAGCAGAGCCTCGTGGGACAGTGGCAGCAGGCCGGACTTCATCGAGGAAACCTGGTTAGAGAAGGTCATAAAACAAGCTCATGTTCACAGTGTCACAAAGTGCTTTACAAGCAAATCCCTGCTGGACAATGATATCATGTTATCAGACCGAACAGAACAAGGTGACGCTGCAAATGTTACAATGCTAATATGAAATAACATCCAACTTTATAATAAGATAAGATATACACATCGGTAGCTGCTTGCAAGAGTCTGCCACCTAGCCCACGCCATCATATGTAATATATAGTTTAGATGGTAGGCTTATTCTACTGTAATGATCAATTCAGTATAGTCACTATAGAAGCACCCAAGGAAGAACCCTACAGTATATACAGTATATTCCCCTATAGTCATACATTATCAAACACAGCTGTTAGCTGTTAGCAGCTACTGCATTCAAGCTCTATTCAGTTACCATGATGTGTTGAAATGTAATCTTGTAACATTTAGTTTAATGGCAGTTAAGCTATTTGAAGCTAATTGAATCTGGACGTGAGCATCAGAAGTATAATGGTGTCTCCTCTAAAACAGGTCAAACAGAGCTAAAGCTAATGCTAACTCTGTGTAGTGACTCACAGCAGCGGTGGCCGGCGTGTGGAGGTGGAGCAGGCAGCGAACGTCAGGCCGGGCGGAGTAGATGGCCGAGTGAAGGCTGAACTCCTCCGTGTCCACGCCCAGGTTGGTGCTCCCCTTCTCCACCACCTCACCCACGATATTCACCTTCACCTGGAAGCAAGCAGTTTGAAATGCATGTGAAAACACAGCCAACCAAACCACCAAAAGATTAACTTAAATACTATTACATAGATTCAGATTCAGGAGTCAGGCTCTCAAAAAGAGCTATATGTTCACGAGGCGTTAACCATGACTTCAGTGAAAAACATACCATTTATTTTACACATTTCCTACATTTTAAAGTGTGTGTGTGTGACTCACCAGATTGGATCCGGTCACCTCGCTGTAGGCCAGGCCGTGTGGCAGCACCAGGAAGTGTTCCTGTTCTTTACTAACACGCAGCTGTCAGGAGGAAGAGAGCATCAGTACAGACAGAGAGAGGGAGGGAGGAAGAGAGCATCAGTACAGACAGAGAGAGGGAGGAAGAGAGCATCAGTACAGACAGAGAGAGGGAGGGAGGAAGAGAGCATCAGTACAGACAGAGAGAGGGAGGAAGAGAGCATCAGTACAGACAGAGAGAGGGAGGAAGAGAAGCTATCAAAACCTAAGAAAAAACTGTGTTAAGGTCAAAAGATTTCTCTCTAATTTGGCCTAAATTGCACTTGAAATACAAAAAGCACATAAACAGATAAACCAACTCTTTTGCAAGAAACCATGTTTGCAGAAAATATATAAAAGTTATATAAAAAAGAAGCAAACCAGGAGTTAACATTTGAGTGGCTCCCCACTACTGGACACCGCGCTCACCGAATAAGGAACATTTTGTATGCTGTTCTCGCAACATTTCTTTTTGGCTATTCAGCAAAATGTATTTTCAGTTCACAATAACGATGTTAAGATAAAATATGGGTTTGATGTGGCTGTTTATTGCCGATATAGCCTCTTTAAAACTGAGCTAAGCGAGGTGTAATGTAAATTTGTATGCCCGCGCCGCCTATGAAGATCACAAGACACTATTATGAGATAGATTATGAGGAATGCGGCCCCCTATTTGAAGCATTTGGATAGTCATCACTCCTTTAAGACTGCTGCTAACTATATCAACAAAGTCCATTATATCTCTTTCAGCATCTATGGCACCAAACTAGCATGATCAACTCAGTTAGTCCCAGCTATGAGAGAAACTTCCAGAGAAAACTTCGGACCAAAGCGGATTTCATGTTTAGCTCTGACCACAAACTGCCAGAAAAAGATGTATTCTGAACACGTGACTAAAAAGCCGCACAATGAATGAAATGAAAATGAGAAAAAGATCAGGAATGAAATGTGAGAAGGAAGTGGTACTGACAGTGAGACACGTGCGGCTGATCTGGGCCCAGCCGTACAGATCGAACAGGCGATGGACGCTCGCCAGCTTGCAGCGCATCAAGCGCTCGCCCTTCACCAGGCTGCCGGGCTCCCAGATCTGAAGGTCGTTGATGGGGGTCACCATCATCATGTCTGAGGGAGAGAAGGAGAGAGTGAGGAAGAGAAGGAGAGAGTGAGGAAGAGAAGGAGAGAGGGGTGACGGTGGTCTGCAGTGGGGCTAAAATCACGTGTAGTGACAAATGAGACAATGGTCTGTACTGATTGTATGTACAAAGAGAAAAAAGAATGACAAAGAACACAAACAAACAATAACAACGACTAAAGTAATCCCCTACATTCACTGCCAGTGAGCCTCATACACACGATTTCTCATACACACGTTTATTTACCAGGAACATTGTTAAATGAATATATATGCATGCAATACATTTACATATACATATACGCAGCAAATACCTATAATCATACACATCTACTGTATACATACACACATACATATGCTGCAGATACGCTATATCAAAGCAGATCGTTTTACAGAGTGTGGAATGCATTTATGGCTTTTCATTAACATCAACATATCAATATTTCATTTTCTAACCATCATGCTTACAGTCAGTATTTTAAAGCTGTATTAAATATTCTTTAAAGTGCACATACTGGAAGGGGAGACGGGTAACGCGGCCGGAGAGCCGTGAGAAGACATGAAGTCAGCGAGCTGCCGGAGAGCCCAGAGGTTCGAGGAGCTGCCCCCCTTCTTCATCTGCTCCTGGATCAGCACGTCCAGCTCCTCCCTGAACGACTACACACACACACACACACATAGAGATCACATATATGTTAGGTATGCAAAGTTAACACTAATCATTTAAGTTTCATAATTATACTCAATTAAAATCAAACGAATGTCCTCCTATTTTGTTTGTGTCTACAATTTATTTTTTGTTGTTAGTCACCTTTGATTTCTGCAATTCACTAATGTTTTCTTATTTTAGTTTTTCTCCTAGTTAATAGAACATTAAACAAGTGGTCAAGAGTGAAGTCCACTATTATACGTTATTATTTAAGTAAGATACAAAATTGCATGAATATCATATGTTTATAATTGTATAATTCTAGAAAATCTACCGGTCCAATGATCCCAATTGGAGGAAGATATTGATACCACTTACTAAATAATGCCTTTTAATATTCCTTTAACGCCAGTACTGAACTCTGGAAAAACACATGTTAACTTTTGTAAAGTTTATCTAGCAGCACTTCCTTTCATCGCTTCTGAAGGACTTCTTTGCTGGCATCTCTGCAATTTTACAACATGAGCAAGAGTATTCCTACACAGCACAACAACTAAACGTATACATTGTTTAGAAGGGGTTACTTATACTAATAAAATAAACAATCGGCCTCCAATTTATGATAAAATTCAGATTCATCATGTATGTATTATTTTGTTCACCTTGGTCAGATGACTATTGCTGCATCTGGAGTTGATTTATCGTATTCTCTCCTTAATCCGTTTTTGTTTAAACTTTTAATAAAAAATAGACATATGTGAGAAAAAATAAAATGGTCTTTTGAACCCTGGATTTTGAACACAGTCCCTTCACTACAGCAGTAAGGGGCATAGATGGCAAAAGTACACACATCCTTTACTCAAGTAGAAGTACAGATACTCGTGTTTAAAAATACTCTGGTAAAAGTAGAAGTACTGACTAAACTTCTTTACTTAAGTAAAAGTATGGGCTTTGAAATGTACTTAAGTAAAAAGTACCCATAACTAGCAGCTGTTTTAAAGAGTACCTGACCTCCCTTTATATTAATAGAACAATAATGTCATTGTTAGCTAATGCATGTTTCCATGCTGAACAACGGCAACATGACAACGTTTTCATTGGTCCCTCTTCTTTAGAGAAGACCAGGAAATGATGGATACACGGATCGTGTTCAAATCAATAGGCACGCAATGACTCTAAATAATAATGATCACGCCACCAAACACACATTCAAACTAAAGGAACCATCCTGTTTGGAAAATGTAAGAAGTAGAAAGTACAGGTATTTGTGTTCAAAATGTAAGAAGTAAAAAGTACAGGTATTTGTGTTCAACATGTAAGAAGTAAAAAGTACAGGTATTTGTGTTCAAAATGTAAGAAGTAAAAAGTACAGGTATTTGAGTTCAAAATGTAAGAAGTAAAGTAAAGACTTGTCAGAAAAATAAGTAGTGGAGTAAAGTACTGATACCAGAAAAATGTACTTAAGTACGGCAACAAAGTATTTGTACTCCACTACTTCCCACCTCTGGTAAGGGGTAAGTAAACATCTTAAATGAATGCTCTCATTTAATGGTCAGCCTCTCCACGTCTCTTCATTAGCAGCAGAAACACAGAGTCATGCACTCAGAGAGGATCCAGCCCTGACTGCGTCTCAGAGCAGATTTATTGTGATGTGAGGACATTAGAGAAGGGGAAAGACTGAGGCAATAAATCACGCAGACACACAGCCTTCTCACCGGACTCTGGAGGAGGCTGGAGATGCGTTTCTTCTGCGGGGGTCCGGAGCCCGGGGTGGAGTGCTGTGGAGACGGGAGGCTCTCCGGGACCCCATCGCTGGGGCTGAGCTGCACCGGGGTGCCACTTGGGGTCGGGGACTTACTCATCTTCTACTGTTCTGCAGTGGATGTCTTACAACCAGAGGTCAGAGGGGATACCTGCAAATAAAGGGTGTCACTGTTATACAAATGCTGCTTGAAGCTGGACTGTGGGAATTTGATATTTAAAGGTCTCCTATTATACTGTTTTTCATCAATACATTATAGGTCTCAGATATATACAGAACCTTTCTCTGATTGGCTGAAACACCAAACAGATCATTGCAGCATCCCATAATCCCCTCTGTTTCAGCCCTGTTTCAAAAGTGCTGATTCTCTGTCTGTTACTTGAGATGAAAATAAGGAGCCCCTCCCCACGCCCCTCTGAGAGATATTTGGTTACAAAGAACACAATGGTGCTCTAGGAGGAGATTCAGGTGATAAGGTGGGGGGGGGGGGGGGGGGGGGGGCGGTTACCTTGGTTGGTGATTGGCTAATGGTTACACAAGCCAAAAAATCGTTATGACATCATAAAGTGGACCAAATCTGATCAGCTCATTTTCAGACAGGTTTTTATATAAATGGATCAGGACAAAAAGAGAGAGAATCTTTTTTCCTGAAACTTTCAGAGTCTCTTTACAGAGAGGGGACACATGTTGATGTATAAAAGACATGAAAAAGTGGATTTTGCATTATAGGTGACCTTTAAATGAATGTCCATCACAATCGAGCGCTTAAGAAACAAGTTCACATAATGCTGACCAAGCCTCTCGCTTCCAGGACAAGCTCTCTGTATTCTGCAGAGATCTCATGTCTGACTTCTACGAGGGAGGTGTGTGAGTCTCTGTTTCTGTTCTCAATAATTTCTTGTCGACATTGTTTGTGCAATCACTCTCATTTCCATTCGGGGAAATCAAAAGTTTGCCCTGCAGGTAGAAATAGATCTTTTTAAAACCTGACAGATTATTCTAGGTTTTTTGCCATGGACAAATGCTGTAAACTGTTTGCTCGGAAAATGCACTTCTTTGAGCAACAATTAGGGCAGCACAATATATACAAATCCAAAATAATGATGTTGAAATCCCAATAATGATTTTGCTTGCAATGAATATAACAGATATTAAAGTGTACTCAGTGCTGCCTTTCTACTGCCTTGAGTAAACAGCTTAAAAACAACACATTGTTCATTAAAGTTGAGGAAAGTAAATTATTTATAGCATTATTTTTGGAAGTATTGTAACATTGAACTGAAGAAAAAAGGCACCAAAAAGAAAAAGGAATGAGTTACAGTAGGGTCGTTTTTTACTGACACTCTTTCACCATTAAAGGAAAACCTCAGTGCAATATCACTGTCTTTCAAGTTATTCTTAGTTGACTTAAAAAATATATATAGCATTTATATAACAGCTAGTTGCCAGAGTTTGGATTCTGTTCCAAGTTGGTGTTACAGATGACATGTAGTCCTTTAAGAAAACAGAAAAAATCCACTTCATTCAGCTGGAGAACAGTCTGAAGATCGGCATGAAGGCACCTTATGACCAATTATAACCGAGAAAAACATATAAGATTGCGCTTGGCCACAATTATTGGTAGTAGCTTCAGACAGGAAGAGCCTGAGGTCACAAACCTCGTGATGAAACTACAGAAACAACAACAGGCTGCAAGTGTTGAGCTCTCAGTCGCTCCATCATGGACAGTTTGTACTTTGAATATGATCAATTCATCTGTTGCAGATGCAATATGTAATATGTATTAAAGACAAATATTTGACTCAATTATATTCAGAATGTGATGTGGCGAAAAAGTCAGAGTCTGAAATGTGTATTTTACAGACAAAAGGCAAATGAATGTGTTGCTATAAAAATGTATTTCCAGTATCGTGAACCATATCGCAAGATAAACTAAATTAGATATTTTTTGAAAAGCCCTATTCGTACCTAATTTGAAATTAACCAAGCAAACAGATTAGATTACATTATTATTATTAATACAAAATAATAGGTTAAAAGACATTACAAAGTCTTGTTTTCTTAGCCATTAGCTCCTAAAGCAGCGGCCATGATTCAGATCAATTCAAAAAGTAATTGCTATCAAAGTTAATACTAATAAATGTAAATGGAGGAAGTGCAGTATGCAGAATATTGTTTAATAATAAGACTATGATTCAAAGAGCCCACTAAAGCCCAGCACATCAAATATTAAATCACAATTATCCATTCAATCAATATTCTCACAATATGTACAATATAAAGTCAAATAAGTATGTTTGTTTATCTTGCATTAGCGCGAAAACAGAGTGGATAAACTAACTGCACATTAAGCCGGCTTTCTTCTTCTGTAATCTCAAAAGGCAGCATAAAGATATAAAAACCTACCCTCACATGAAGGATGCTGTATTCCTCAGGGCACAGATTAGTGGAAGTGCAGAGCTTTTTACAAAATGCAGCATTAGCCGACAGCAGCGCCAGAAACACTAACAGGAAGTGAGCTCGAGATGCAGCTCGGTAATTGGAGGAAGAGTAAAGAGTTACTGTAAGGATCTTTAGAGAGAAGCTGGCCACTCCCAGATTGAACACACACACACACACACACACACACACACACACACACACACACACACACACACACACACACACACACACACACACACACACACACACACACACACACACACACACCACACACACACACACACACACACACACACACACACACACACACACACACACACACACACACACACACACACACACACACACACACACACACACACACACACACACACACACACACACACACACACACACACACACACACACACACACACACACACACACACAGCTGCAGAGAGCAGATTAGGTCCACACACACACACCACACCCTCCTGTGCTACATCTTACTTGATAAGATGCATTTCTGTAACTATTTGTGCATCTCTGATCACGTGCATCGTCAAAACCTTTCATGTCTTTGACACTCAGGGCTCACTTTGAAGAGGCTCACTTTAATAGCACAAGAGACCAATGAGATCCATGTGTATCACTTATTGCAATCCACACAAGAACTCGGAGAGCTGACTAAACCTTTACAGGAGGTTCTGGATAGATTGTATGCACTTAAACTCCACAACATCAGGCTCACTGAGTTCAACATCACTTAACCGTTACATCAGCTATCCAACGTCAGCAATTTGCTAAAGCACTTACTCCCCAATCAAACATTGACATATACTGTAACTGTGTAGTTATGTGTTGCAATAAACTATTACTTTTATTATAGATTCATCTGCAGACTATTGACCTAATCAATCAATTAACGTAGGGGTCTACAACATTTCACAAAACATGTCCATCTCACTCTTGTTTTGTAAATCCAAAACATATTCACTTTAACATGATATAAGAAAAGCAGGAAATGCTGAAAAGAGCATTTACTGAAATGTTTGCACGCAAAATTACTTAAACAATTAATCAATTATTAAAATACCTTGTGCCTATTTTCTGTTGATAGACAAATCATTTCAGCTCCAGTCACTATTGATTCTTCAGTGATTACTTTCAGATAGATGCTTCTTTCCTTTTTCTTTGATGTATTTTTGCTTTTAAGCAATCACAAACTCTGATATTTATATCTCCATTGAAATGTATCGACATGTTTGTTTTGAACAGAGTTGCTAATTTTAAAATAACAGGCAGCAGACGGTCTATAAAGTGATATAGATATATAGTCTTTTACTCTCTCACAGTGGAGGCTGGTCCTCGGTGTGTTTGACTCTCGGGCCCAGCTGCTGACAGGCAGCAGACAGACAGCCTCTCTCTCCAGGGAGGGTCCTAATGACTGAGGGGAGACCTCAGCCTCACTTCCTGCTGCTCTGATCCTCAGCTGCACTGCGATCATGCTGCATCATAAGCTCCTTTCTGTTTCATAACATCTCAGGGAGTAGTGGATCTGATTTCCTGCCACTCTCTTCTATGGCTGCATTTTAAAGTCTGAACAGTTTATTGTAACGACTCGCATTGTGTGCATGTGGTCGCATCACAGGACGTGCAATGCCATAAATCAGGAGACAGGAAACACTTGCAAGGTTCTCATTTTCCAGGATTAATCTTCATTAACCTGTTAAGCCCCAAGCCTGTTTTTCAGAGTGTATCAGAGTGTATCAAAAAATCAAAGCAGGTTGCCAGCCACAACCTGAAGCTGAGCGAGGACCAAGAGAACAACTAGAAAAAAAGGAGGGTTTGGTTGTAAAAGAAACACAATGGCACTTGTATAAACAATTCGGCAACACAATGATGTTGACCTCATGCTGTAAGGATTCCTGTAATTTGTTCAGATTTGAATATATGCTTATCTGCAAGATTGGCAAAACCAAATATTTTATATGTTCAGGTAATCATGCAACGCAATGCATTTCTGTTAGAAACCCATCTCGACACATTTGGATAAAGATATGAAGATCTGATTTGTGATTACTCAAAAAATACATTAAAGGAGAGGTGTCATGGCCATTTCCACTGATCATAATTCCATTGTTGCGGTATACTAAAATAGATTTATACTGTGCATTTTTCCAAACTCACATTGGTTTCTCATACAGCATCTCTGTAAAGTGTGTGTATTCAGCAGTATTCACTCTCTCCACTAAACGGCTCGTTGTAGCTCCAATAGCTCCAGCCCCCACCCTCCCTGTGAGCTCAGTGTGCTCTGATTGGTCGGGACGTTGTGAATCGCGCTGAGCTCCGTGGAGGTGTTGTTTCCTTGTTTAGGATACATAGCGAAACACAGCCAAATTCATCCTGAGCACACACAAAGTCACAGCCGAAGTAAAAACAATAAGTGTAGCTTGATATTGAGTAAGAAAAAGGTTGATAAACGCTGTGAGAATGGGTCTGCAGAGAGAATTTCGCCACGATCCCAACTGTCTGTTATCAGCCTGCAGCCAGGGAGGAGAAATCAGCAGAGCTGCCTGCACTGAGTGTGTGTGTGTGAGGAAGTCCGTCAATCAGCGGGGGCTTAACGTAACGGCTCCGCGGACGTAACGTAACGGCTCCACGGATTGGTCCATTTGGTTCCGGGTACCGCATGACCGTATCGCGTCATAGCTCTGGGCGTGGCTACTGGGTATCCACACGTCACAATGCCCAGGAAGAACATGAGAAAGTTCCAACGAGGCGTTTTGGGGAGGTCTTTTCTGTGTTAGAGTTTTACTCCCTACAGGGTGTACTTTGAGGGTTTTTGACTCTGCAGACCGTTTACATGCATAAAAACCTTCATAACACACAAGGGGACGGGTAATAACCGGAAAAGCATGACACCTCTCCTTTAAAAACTGATCAAATAAAACAATCCTTTTGAAAAGTAAACACTTTAGATTAAACAGTGAGCAGCGCTGCAACCATTAGTCGAATCATTGATAATCAACAGGGAGGTATTACAACTATTTTGACAATCAATAAATCATTAAACGTGGCCACTAGAGAGTGGTCTTAGGACCTCTGTGCCCTTGACTTCCAGCTGCAGAGAGGCGGCTGGATAATCACTAAGAAGCTTTGATTGATTTTTCTTTGGGTTTGCTTTCAGGTTTATTTTATAATGTCTGCTAAGTGGTTCCTAACCTGTAAACTAGTGTTATAATAAAGCAGTATCTCTGACTGAGTAAGATAAAGGTTAATAAATGTTGTTGCTTTCTAAACTTACTGCAACTCATCATGTTTACCTCTTTATTTGTACACGTTATAATCCAATGAAAAATATGTTTAGACGCAACATGTTTTGGTCTATGTCGCACTAGTGAAACATGTCAATATTAGTATTTCAAAGTCCAAAGTGAAGTTTTTAAATGTCTTGTTTTGTCAGTCAAAAACCAAAAGATATTTACCTTAATATGATATACAATTTTAAAAAGCAGCAGTGTTCAAATTTGAGAGGCTGAAAACAACATTTTCTGACATTACTGCACGAGAAACTACTTCAATAATCGATCAATTATCCAAATAGTTGCTGATTAGTTTTTCTCTCTGACTAATGGATAAGTCGACTTATCCTTGTTAGTCAATTTTCAACAAAAAAACAACACATTATGTATTTGGAAAAGCACTGTATTATCACAGTATCTTCATTTTGGTAGAGCTTTCATTAGTAAGTCAACTTATCTATTAATCGATCAACCGAAAAATAATTGGAAAATATTTTGCTAATTGGAAATTCAGTTTTGAAGCCTCAAATAGACATTTTGCTCAAATAATATATTTGAGTTTCCTAATGACTAAAAACCAGACATTTAAAGATTCGGAGAAACTGGGATGAACCTTTTTTTGTTTGTTTACTATTCTCTGAAATGTTACAAACTAAATTATCAATCTAGAAATTAATCAGCAGATCGATCGTTACAAATACTCATTAGCCCTAGTAAATTAAAAGACTCGATATATGAGAGTCACTATTCAAAAAATGAATCACCTGAAATTAGATATGATACAGTTTAATAATATACATTTAAACCCACTAATGACTATGGACTTCTATACAGCTGCAGCTCAAATGAACCCATCATCATTGTGCTGAGGGAGATTAATATCTGTATAGGTTTATATCGATCATAGAGTCACGTGAGTGCAAGCAGGGCTCCATATTGTGCTTTTACAGCTTCATATTTCACCGTGCATGCAGATATCGTGTACATAGCTGCATGTTTGTTAGCATCCTCCACACCAGCTAGCAGCCCATCATGCATGGCTGCTTAGCAACATCCGCACGCGCTGCAGCATCAGCATCCGCTTAATGGCCACCAGCTAAAAAAATTAATGCAGCAGCGACGACTCAAACATTTCTCTCTAAATAACCGAGCAAATATATATCTTAAATATATATATATAATTCCAATAGAAGCAAGAGCAATGCACTTAATCATGGCCTGCATATCCACCCAGAACTATTGTACAAAAATGAACAAAAAACGACATCGCTGGCACGGTAATAAGCAAGAGTAGAGGCTGCATGGCTACACCACATATGAATACACGACACTAACTGCACAGATGAGACCTTGCGTTAGTCACGGGCCTTCATGTGCAGAGCGCAATGAAGAGAAGAAAGCAACAACAATGCGGAGAGCTGCAGAATACGCGATCTTAATCACAAGCATATAATAAGGAATAAAAGACAGCAGATGCACCGTATGTCTGACAACAGCACCGGCCAGTATGGTGTCTGATGATCGGCGTACACACGGCTCATACACGCTGCAGGGAGGATCTACGCCCAGCCATTTAACCATGCTGTTACACTAACACTGATGTTAGCAGGTTTACTCACCTCAGTGCATCCTCAGGAGCGCGTGTTCTCTAAGCGCGCGGCTCACCCACGGCCCCGAAGCCGTATACCTCAGGAAGAAAAGAGATGTGTGGTTAATTACAATTATAACGCCCAAACCGAGGTTCCTTTGTGGGGTTATTTCAGGGCCTCAGCTGGTACCAAGTCGGAGGATGTTTTTCATCGCTCGGTGCGCCTGGACCAGCCCACTGCCACGCCTGTCCACAGTGACACACACACACACACACGCGCACACACACAGGGCTCCCACTCTTGCATGCACCCACAGTGAGATTCAAGCTTTGCAATCCACTTGGAGTTATTGTGTTGGGAAAAAAACACGCACAGCCCAAGTGGATGTCTAATGCTTTCTCTTAAAACGTTTTTAGTTCGCGAGGCCCAGTGCAACCAGGATCAAGATATATGAGCTACATACAGGCGCCCCCTGCTGTTCTGATGGAGAACAGCATGGACACCGTTAGAAACAAACATATATTAGGTTTTTACTGTATGTATTTAAGTAGGCCTATTAGCAGACAGAAACTTAGTACATTACATTTAAAGGTACTTCTTAAACTTATTATTTGTACACTAAGTACTAAGTATATTGTGCTTTTAACTTCTCTTACTTACATGTATTTAGTAATCACTTGGGATTATAATGATACAAAATACAATCAACAAATAATTTATCATGAACTAGTAGATGTTAAATACAATTCTTTGCTCCCTTAGTGAAATGTATAACCTACCCTGGAGTATTTACTGTACAAAAAGCTCCAGCTGTTAAGTTATGAACATATCAATAAATATAATACAGTAATATAAATGACTTGTGTATAGAATAACTCTTAAATTGTTACGCCAATATTTTTGTTCTTTTACTAGAGCAGAATTTTGAAATCATGACGTTCACTTGCAGAGTATTTCTACACTGTACAAGTACTAGGTATGAGTACTCAGTCCACAACAAGTAAAAGGTTGAAGGTTAATTGAGTATTTCTATTTTCTGACACTTTTTACTATTTTACTTCCTAGAAAATATAGATTTTACATGACAAACACTGGAATAGACTACAATAAACAGGGCCGTCCCTCCCTACAGGCCGATCATGCAGACTGCGTGGGGCCTCACCTTGCGGAGGGACCGCGAGGGGGCCTCAACTGAGCCGAAAATGCGGCGCACCTATGCGCTTATGCGGCGCAATTATGGCGCATTTCCACGGCCTCGCTCGGCCTCGCTCGGTATGGCTACGCCTCGTTAGGACTGGCTCACTTTATGGCGCATTTCCATTACAGTTTAGGAACTGGGGTAGTTACTATAGAGTGGCGAAGTCCCTCCCCTTCCGGTGGACCTCCATGGGACTTTATTTCGGAAAAATTATGTATTGAGGTCAATGGAGAGAGAAAGATTATCTTTCGATCCCGTTTGAATTGAGCCACGAATTACACATATGATGTTTGTCAATTTAAAAGATAATTTTGCAAGTTAAAAAAAAAAAAAATGTGTCGTAACACTGTGAAGTAACACATTTGTTTGTGTGAAACGCTCAATGAACTACATCTCTGGTCAACAACACACGTCACCAAGATGGCCGTCACTACTGTCTTGTCAACAAAACGATTGACTACCCTCACTATCACCACAATGAAACACACAAGAATGTCATGCAAAGCTGCCTGCCTGCCTTCCTTTGATTCTCTCTGAACTGCCTGGTCGTTTTAATGTTTAATGTCAACCATTTGTGCAGATAGCATGAAGTAGAGAAGATCGCTAGCGTTAGCGTTAGCATTTGTCCCCCGGGATTAAATTGTGTATTATAGAATGATCACACCGGTGACAGTACTCTTCAAAGGGTTCACGAAATATGACTACTACTCAGGGGCGTCGCCTGAACCTGAAAACATTCGGGGCTTAGCCCACAGTGGCGGCGGCACTACAGTGGCATTTTTCACTGCAACACTCCCCACACGCACACACACAGTACACCTGCGACTGTTACAATGAAGGCTCGATAATCAGCTCACGGCATATAGGCAGGGGTAAAGTGGTATTTTTTATGAGTGGGGGGCTCACCTCCTCTAGGGGGGTCCGGGGGAATGCTCCCCAGGGAAGATTTGTTTTTAAATATTGAAGTTAAAGCATCAATCTGGTGCACTTTGAGAGCAAAATGAAGAGATCTATGGATACCTCTCTTCACCCATATGAAGCAGAACTGTAAACAGATGTACTTTTTCTTTATGGATATTTGACTAATCACTCTCCTTTTAAACTGTATTCTTGTTTTACTGCCATATAGTATTTCATAACTGTTTTTCCTTTATTCTCTTATTTTTTTTATAACTATAATCATCATATGAAGGTGTGCCGCGGAAATAATCTTTTGAATAATTTGTGACCAAACCGTTTGAGACCCACTGAAATAACTTAGACTAAAGTTAACTATCTAAACACTCAGAGAGTCCTTTAGCTCACCTGAGTCTCTCAGTCTGAGAGGAGAGGACTCTCCTCCAGCTCCTTATGTCCGTTAGTGCAGCTAGCTAACCAGATGCTAACAACACGGTCCATGCTGGTACTGGTACTGGTACTGGTCCCTCCCTCCCTCTCTCTCTCTATCACACTATTGCCACACACACACACAGAGCCGAGCTTGAATGACACAAGCACACGTTTATTTCCATGCAACTCTCTGATTGGTCTGGTGTCATGCCTCTGTTGCATTCACTGAACACGGGAAATTACTAGTGATGGGAATTATGGCTCTTTGAAGGGAGCCGGATCTTATGGCTCCGTTCCTTTCAAAGAGCCGTTCAAAAGAGCCGTTCAAAAGAGCCGTTTTTTTAAAAAGGGGGCGGGGTTACTAGGTTTATCTGCGAAATAATCACCAGGATAATGATTGACTGCATTGCCAGACCTAATGTCAATAATCTGCATTGTAAACATGACACAAGGTGGCGCCATATCCATGTCATTCATGTCAGTGAATGTACTTTGAATTTACCCTCTGCATGTGTTAAGTAAATAAAGTTGCCTTGCCTTGAATGAAATTCACGCAACTCTTAATATTAGTAGTGTGTTTTTAAGTGGCGATGGAGATTATTTGTTGACCCTGCTTTAAAGGATATTTTGCCTTTACAAATGGTGCGCTTTATCACTGCCTGGGTTTTGGTTGAAGTGCATCCAAATGCTGCTGCGTTTTCGCGTTTGGCTCATTTTACATCCGAAAAACACGTCGTCTATCTGTCCAGTACCACTTGTTATGACTTCTCTCTCTCGCGTATTCCGTTAAGACCCACCCCACCTAACTCCTCGTGCTGAAACCTACAAATCAGAGTAGGGGCGGGTCTTCACAGAATACGTTTGGGGAACAAAATCAAGCTTTTTAAAAGGCGAGTGAATTTTGGCAGGCAGTGAGTGCGGACCAACTTTGATTGAACGATAAGAAGAACGGCTCTCACCAAGTACGACTCGGTTCCCCTCGTTCGTACCAAAGAGCCGTTCAAAAGAATCGGCTCGTTCGCGACCGACACATCACTAGAAATTACAGTGCTGCCGTCCTCTCTTGTGTCATGATGAGGTTCACGTAAAGCACGGTTAATGTATTATATTATTGAGGGAGAATTGTCCGGGGCTACAGAAAAAACATTCGGGGCTAAAGCCCCGGATGCCCAGGCCAGGCGACGCCACTGCTACTACTCTTTACTGTTTAACATTTTGGGTTACTTAATGTTACTTCATGTTAAGGCTAATAAAAATGACAAGGCTGTAATGCTAACTAACGTGCTAGCTACTAGCTAGCTTGATCAAGCCACTCCTGGTCCTTTCATCAGACGGGAAGCGAAAGAACGAGCTAGACCCATTGCTGGTATAATAACAACCTGGTACTAAGCACACAGGCATCTTGTTAAAGTTATCTTATTTTAGCCAGCGCCATATAGATAGATTATATCTATATGGCGCTGATTTTAGCTATCTCTTTAGCTAGGAAAACAATTGTGACATCACTTACGCGACTCTGGGATTTGTAGTCTTTCTAGTTGCGTATTTTTCATAGTCTTATATTTCAACAGTTTTACGACAAACTGTGACTTTTTTTGACATGGAAATGATTTTTTAAGATTGACAAACATCATATGTGTAATTCATGGCACAATTCAAACGGGATCGAAAGATAAGTTTTCTCTCTCCATTGACTTCAATACATTATTTTTCCAAAATAAGGTCCCATGGACCGGAAGTAGATGGGCGTGACTTCGCCACTCTATAGTAACGCAGTGTAGGCGGAGCAGTGACGTCATCTTCAATGAGAACCTCAGAAAAACAACACAGCCGTTAGCTGTTAGCACTCAGAGCTCACAGCTCCTCATATATGTTCAGAAACTAGACAAAAGTTAAACAAGTACAAACCACAGACGGTCTGTGTCATGGCGAATACAGTCGCTGCTTTATTTATGTCTGTATAGGCCGTTGTGAGTGTGGACGGTCGGAGCATATATCGCGTTAGCTTAGCCAATCTCCATTTAGAAAACACGCATTTTAAAAGGTTTTTCGCCTGCCGTCTGTCTGCAGACTTGTCAAAGCATTAATTCATGGATTTTACTAACCGGTATCAGTATGTTGTTACTTCGGCATCATTTTGAAACGTGTATTACAATTAAATCACGGTCAAATATGTTCATCTTGTTGTAGTTGTAGCCCCCTTGCCAGCGATTCTCTCTCTAGCTTAGCATACTCAGCCTCGTTGTTCCTGGCCCTAGAACCACGATTTTATGGGGCCAGAAAAACTGTCAATTAGGACCCGCTAGCCGGTACTAGGCCAAGTGGAATCGCAACCAAAGACGGGCCGCTGACGTCACAGCTCTCTTAAAAGGGGCTCCGCGCTGTAGTGGAAATGCGCCATTAGTGTGGCGCGGCACGGTTTCGCCGCTGCGAGGCTCCACTAGCACCCCCCCCACCCCGAAACAGAGGGCCTCGCCATATAACTTTGCGTGTGGCCTCAAGTTGGCCAGGGACGGCCCTGACAATGAATGATTGATCACCCTTTAACAGATACACCATTAAACACAGTTTAAAAGTGGATCGATCAGTAAAAATAACCCCATTATTTAAATACGATTTAACATATTGATTACTTGTCATTTTGATACTTTATGTAAATGTCTCTGAAAGTGCATGTGACCTTTTTTTTTACCTGTGCAGACATTTGAACGCAGGGTTTTCAACAGTTATGGCTTTACTTCTTTACATTATTCTTCCACCGCACATTTAAAAAAGGATACTAACCTGGAGATGTGTGCCAAATAAAAACACGTTACAATGAGTCGTTAATTACATCATTTATCAAGCATTTTGATATTCAAGTTGTCTTTTTGAAGTAAGAGTAGTACATGTAGTTTTGCAAGGAAAACTCAAATGAAAACTTCTGAAATGAGAATCATTGGCAACCACAGCATTCAGTTATATGGACAAAAAAAAATAATATAAATACAGAAATGTAACAAAACGTCCGTCTTCTTGGTACAAATGTCTCCCTTTAAAGGACTTGATGACATCTCATTTAATTTAATATGTATAACAGTAGTCCTTGTAACCATTAATTGTGGCTTTTCATTAGACGGAATATAATAACTTAACAAAAAACAACCAACCCTTTAGACAGAATTTTAAAAACAGAAGCCGTCTTTACATTTTATTTTAGGGCTGCCAAGGATACAGTTTGTGAAATAAAAATAAAAACACATTCATATTTAATCAAACAAAATATATAAATTAAATACGACAAATAAAATAGTATTTTCTCCGTGAATAATCCTTTCTTCGTAAGCCCCCTAAAAAATAAAACAATAATTATTGAAAAATGTAACAGTTAGCACAATTATCAAATTCAGTGACCTGTTGATTGAAAGGTAAATCTCTAATGGCTGCTGGCTGCTGTCCCCCCCCTCCCCTCTCCACTACAATGCATTGAAATAGATGTTTTTAACACACCCTGACCCTCCTTTAAGTGCACTTTTATAAATAAGCTGGGTGCTACCTGAAACATTTAACCAGAAGAGGGCGCTGTAACACGTCAAATCTTTGGGATAATGAATTTTCCATTGTGCCCATGTGTTGTTAAGGGTAATTCTGTTTACAAGAGTGTTACCTCATTAAATGACCAGTCACACACTTGAGCAGAGGTCTAATGAGCCAGAATAACTGAACACAGCTGTGTGTGCAGGGCCTGCAAGTGTGGGAAGATACCATGATTTAACACGGAAAATAGAGGTTTGTTAAGGCAATGAAGGGAATACTTCACCTACAATATGATCATTTGAACATTACTTACCCTTTGTTAACTTCAATGTGTTTTTATTTTGTGTTTGTATACAGTTTCTCCATGGTAAACATAGGATGACAACATGGAGACAATTTGATTCAAGGTGAGCTGTTGGTATACAAATGATCCTTTAAGTAACCCACTGCTTCTTTTTTTTTCCACTGCAGAAATGTTGACAACTATTTGCAGAAAAGGCGCATAACTATGACTCTACTCTTTTCAATTGTGACAGTGAGCCTGTATGCACAATACCCTAAAACTGATGCAGCTAAATGCAATCATCATTCATTTCCTTCTGTGACATGTACACATATCTTCTGTGTCAATGAGTGTTTTTTTAAAGGTTTCTTTCATGCTGAATGATTTGTTTTCTAAGATTTGTATGAGCACATCCTTGGCAAACAGAAGATGTAAATAACTACTTTGCTACTAATTTATGTTAATTATATAAACAAATTGACACAATTGTCCTAGTCTTTCTTTGTTGGAGAACACCCCTTATTTGTACCGTCAATTGGAAATGAAATACAAATAATGTTTGTGTCCACATGGGGGCAACATTTGTATAAAATTACACCAACGATCATATTTGTTTCTATTACAATCCCAATTAATATGTTATTATTATAACGCCTGATATAACCTGTCCGACGTTTGCATGTATTTCAAAAAGAATCCTTTAACCCTGGAGTGTTAAGACTTCTTCTTGCCAACATTTTGCAGCAATCTGCATTTTAAATGAAGACATACTTATATACAGATGTTTCATCAATGTATTAAACATATCCAACCTGGCAGGTTTCCAATATTTGTCCAAGCCATCTGCTCTAGGGTTGAGACATCTGTTGTAAAAGAAGAAGGGGATAGCATTTTAAAAAAAAAATACATAGCTATATGGAACAAACAGCTTGGAGAGGAAGTACATTTTCCATTGAAATGAAAATGACACACACACACACACACACACACACACACACACACACACACACACACACACACACACACACACACACACACACACACACACACACACACACCACACACACACACACACACACACCACACACATACAACACACACACACACACACACACACACACACACACACACACACACACACACACACACACACACACACACACACACACACACACACACACACACACCACACACACACACACACACACACACACACACACACACACACACACACACACACACACACACACACACACACACACACACCACACACACACACACACACACACACACACACACACACACAGCCACACACACACACACACACACACACAACCACACACACACACAGCACCACACACACACACTACGACACACACACATCACAACCACACACACACAACCACACACACACACACACACCTACATCACACACACACTTTTTTTTTTTATCTTGATCTTACCCTCATCATCTTGATTTATCCAATCAGATGAGGAGGTACTTGTGAGGACGGTCTGAATGCCTCGTGACGGCTACACTGCAGACAATCAAATGCCTCGTGTTGATTGCCAGCGGTAATTGAAGTATGATCCAGTCAGATAATTTAAGGGAATGATAAATGTGTCTGATTGCTTATTGTTGAAAGATTCTGTATGTATTCCTACACAGTATGAATGTTGGCTGCATTGTGTTTAAAAAAAAAGTTACACCATTTGTCTACAACCGATGGTGATTTCTGCATTCACTATTTAATTAAGTGAGTGATCCGGCCTGAGACAATGTGCCGCCTGTCATCCCCTGGTTCACACTTTCATAGTTGTCACTTGATTAAATGCACTGGTTGCCCAACAAAAATCTTTAAAAAATAAAACATACATTATTGTTTATACACCTGTTTGCGACCTTGATGTGGCCGTCATTTAAGTGGCAGTTTATTTGTATTCATGTAGCCTTATGCTTAGTGTCATTACTCTACTCAGGAATGCATATTTTCATAATTCATGAATGGGTGTAGGCCTCTGTCCTCCTCAAAATGAACAAATCTTAATAAAATATATGCACATGGTTCTATTTCCAGCGATCAGCACCTCATCACAACCTTGGGTGTGCATTACAATTTAAGTATTTTATATATTTATTTTCTTTTTTCCTATGTACATTTTTTAACAAGTAATTTTTCTTTCACTTGCGTAAAATTTGTGTTAGGTAGGCTTACTTGTACTTTTACTTGAGTACGATACTCTAGTAGATCTACTCTTTTCATCTCCACTTATAGATATTTGTTTTGCTATTTAAAAATAGGGCAGTATAATTCAACCTGGAGCACACTGAGAAGGGCTTTGCTTCCCCCCCCCCACACTTCAGGCACTGAGAAAGGGGCAAGCATTTTGTGAGATCTGGCATTTTGTGAGAGAGCAGTCATGTGCACAGACTCTGAAAATGCATTAAAAGAAAACTGTTAAATATTTGTTTATGCCACAGATCCAAGCAGGTTTACGCCAGACGGGGAATTTATTCTGTGTTCTGTCCTGAGGGTTAAAATATAGTTATTATGCAACATAGAAATGCTCTTTTCATTAACTTATTAGTTATTTTTATTCCTCAAAAGTCATTAGATTGCAAGAAACAAAGTCTCTGAAACTCATATTGGTGCATTAAATATGCTTAAGTTTTACAGCCTAATGGTTTGTGTCCACCTCCAGGCACTCTCTCATCATAGGTTGCATTAAACAGAAGCAAACCACAGATTTATATTGTAATTCAAATCTTTTTTAATTAAGATGGAAGCAGAGTAATATTCCATGATTTTCTAAATGAATAAATAGATCCCTGATGCCAGGTTCTTGTTAACACTTCACATCAGACCCACTCATGATAGAGACCTGTGTGACGAATAAGACGACAACCTAATTAAGTGTTCAACCCTAGAGGGGAGAAATGTGTAACGTGACACATTATTAAAACATGACACATGTTAAGTCCCTCTTGCAAATGGCTCGTAGTAAGTCTCACATTTCTGATTTGTTGGATGTCTGTGCGCATACAACCCACATTGCAATAATTAGCCAGTTAAAAATAATAAAACCGAAACAACGGTGTTGTTATATACATATGCTGTACCATATTTATTTTGGGAAAGGACAACATGTTAATTAGGAAACACTGCACTTCATTTTTAGTTGGAATGAAATCTTCGAGATAACTAGAACACGTATTTAGAAATCTGTCTGAGAAGGTCCTAAAAGTATCCTTTAGTTTTGACGGAAATGTAAGTTATGTAATGATGTTTTACTATGAATACATTTAATAAAAGTTTCAAAAATGTTTGTAGTTACCGTCAACTATAGTTTTTAGTAAAGCAAATCAAATTCTGCATTTCAGACTCTTTTGAAAATCAGAAGAAATACAAAAAGATTGCGATTGGAGCAACAACAACAACAGTTTATAATTAGGAAAGAAAAACGAGTTACCAGAGTCTGATCGGGTGCCACTTGTATGAGGAACTGGTATCCAGGCACCACACAGTGCTGCAGCATCAGTCTGTTCATATCTCCGTCCTCTGTCACTGCTTCTGGGGGCATGCTGAACCCATCCTCCATTCGCTCCTGTCAGGAAAGAAAATAAAATATATTTTAAAAATGACCTTATACTATAAAATATCCATCTACTTTAAAGGGAATCATAACAATTACAATGAATTAAACTGTACGGCAAAACATTTGTTCATAAGTAAAACAATAAAAGCATGACAAATCTCCATATCAAAACATTAAATATACCGAAAACACCTTTTTTTTTATTTCACTGGAACAGCAGAAGTTTTGTTGTTTTTACTTTTACTCTAATGAAAGGTAGGGTATAGGTAAGAATGGAGAAACCAGCTCTGCCCCTTCCTTCAGACTTCCTTACAGAGCCCCTTCTCCAACACACACAAACGCGCACATGACTAATGAGGGCACGAGATAAGTGTGTGCACGAGATGGAAGGCTGACAGGCAGGTAGGCCATCCAGTTATTTTAGCCGGGCCGGCTCAGATGATTGGTCGTGCTTTTTACAGTACCACGGCTTCCACAGATGACATATTTGTATATATTTATTGTCAAAGCATTTAATGTATTCATTGCTATCGGGATGTTAAGAGCATTCCATGGAATATAACAAGCGTTTCTGAAGTGAATTACCTACCTTTAAAATGAGACATTAACAATTATTCTCAATCATGATTTTTGTCTCCCAAATTTAAATGAAAACGATCGACTGCAATATTGTAGCTTTCAGAATTTAAGGGAGGTATTTTGGAATACACTGATTATGGATAACAACCTTTCTTTAAAACAATCTGAATTGTTACTTTAAAGCTCAAAGTCAGCTTTTTACCTCAGACATAATCTTATGTGCAGGAGATAACATAAAAAAGCCAATTAAAAAAGGTGTTTCTTATTCTCCAGAGCTGCTCATTGTTTTTCTATCACAGATACAAGAAGACAGGTCAATTGTCAAACTGTTATGACAGCAAGGTGGAAAAACAAACACTCACATCATCCACTCGCCATAGATCACTTCCCAAGACATCAGTCTGGCCATAAGTGATTGCATTCTTGAGGAAATCAGTCCCACTGACAGTATTCTGAGAAATAGAAAATAAGTGGCAATGCTGCCCTTTGAAAATAACAGAGGACACTTGTCATTTGATAGAGTCCTGATGAACAAAGCACTTACACTGTCGGCGTCCTGCAAAACTGCAAGAAGCAATCTTATGTATTCTGTCGCAGCTTTGAGTGTGTCCACTTTACTGGGCTTTCTGTCTGGTCGCATCAGTGGCACCATGCGCTTCAGGCGGGAAAACATGGTGTTCAAATTCCTTATCTGCACAGAAGAGAGGCTGAAGTTTCACATTCATGATACTTAACCATGAATAAAGCAAAAACAATGGTGATGAATAAGAACATGCATGGACAATTTATCAGCAAACCGGCCCCTAGCCACTTGTAAAGAACAAGTCTTTTAGCTCATTTTGCATCTTTGTGTTAGTTATGTATGTACATTTGATCGACATTGACCAACTACAACACATATAACATAATATAATAACCATAATACTGTACAAAAAAAAATCCATTCTGCATTCTGAGTACTTTTACTGTTGATACTTGAAGTAAGTTAAGCCAATAATACTTCTGTAGTTTATATTATTTTGAAATGGACCTTTACGTTTGGTACTTTATATAGTAGTATATTTTGATGCTAATACTTTTAAAGTACAAATACAATGGTCTTAAAATACTCCATTACAAGTCAAAGTCCTTATTTCAAAAATGTTACTTAAGTAAAAGTGCAAAAGTATTAGCATCAAAACGTCCTTAAAGTACAAAAAGTAAAATATATCATTCTGCACAATAGCCAATTTCAGA